GTGTTATGTCTGACTCCAGCATCAGCAGTTCTTACTATCTCTTAGATGTTAGGTAGCTTTCTTTTTAGCAGATAGAACAGGTTGCTTGCTGTGTGCTGAATACTGAAGTGCTGCATTATTTCCTGAGCGCTGAGATGGAGATTACCTTTAGAAGAGGTAGTTGTTCTGAAAGTAGATCAGGGTCAATTTGGAATGAGGTTTCAGACTGTTGTGCCTTTGAACACCCCAGGGCAATGCTGTTCCTGTTGGCTGCAGGTCACGTTCCAGCAAATATTCTGACTGTCACTTATTCCCTGGTTGGTTTTAGCTCATTACAGGTAATCTTCCTTGGAAATTCCCAGGTCGATGGGCTTAGTTCCATACCAATGTTACACAGGTAAGAGCTGTCTCACGTTGATGTAAGCTAACTTACTTAGCATCTATCTTTTGTTTGCCTCCAAAATGTGAAAAGATGCAACTTTACAGCAGAGACGCTTCCAGCCTCCAATACATTTTCCATCATCACACGAACCATTCGAGAGTTCTGGTTTTGTGATGTGCATCTTTGGTAATTTGGTTCAGACATATAAAATGATTTTATATAGGACCTTACAGCCGTGTAAAGCAGATTTCCATCGCACCTATCTGAACTGGATTGGAACCGAGATCCCAGCGGTGAAAGAAAGAACAATGATACAGTCATAGACCCTTCGGTCCAACTCGTTCATGCCAACAAGATATCCTAAATTAATCTATTCCCATTTGCCAACATTTGGCCTAAATCCCTCAACTTTTTCTATTCATATCACCATCCAGATGCCTTTTAAATGCTGTAATTGTATCAGCCTCCACCAATTCCTCTGGCAGCTGACTTCATACATGCACCACCCAGTGTAAAAAAAAGTTGCCCCTTGAATCTCTTAAATCTTTCCCCTCTCACCTTAAACCCATGCCCCTAGTTTTGGACTCTCTGACCCCAGGGAAAAGACCCTTGTCTATTCACCCTATCAATGATTCATGATTTTATGAATCAATATAACGTCACCCCTCAGCCTCCGACATGCCAGGGAAAATAGCCCCAGCCTGTTCAGCCTTTCCATATAGCTCAAACCCTCCAAACCTGGCAACATCCTTGTAAATCTTTTCTGAACTCTTTCAAGTTCCACATTATCTTTCCTACGGCAGGCAGACCAGAACTGCATGCAATATTTCAAAAGTGGCCTAACCAATGTCCTGTACAGCTGCAACATGACCTCCAACTCATACTCAATGCACTGGCCAATAAAAGCAAGCATACCAAATGCCTTCGTCACTATCCTGTCTACCTACGACTCCACTTTCAAGGAACCATGAACCTGCACTCCAAGGTCTCTTTGTTCAGCAACACTCCCCAGGACCTGACCATTAAGTGTATAAGTCCTGCCTTGTTTTGTTTTTCCAAAATGCAGCACCTCACATTTATCTAAATTAAACTCCATCTGCCACTCCTCAGCCCACTGGCCCATCTGATCAAGGTCCCATTGTACTCTGAGGTAATCTTCGCTGTCCACTACACCTCCAATTTTGGTGTCACCTGCAAACTTACTAACCATACGTCCTATGTGCACATCCAAATCATTTATATAAATGACAAAAAGCAATGGACCCTGCATCGATCCCTATGACCATTGGTGTGCCACAGGCCTCCAGTCTGAAAAGCAACCCTTGACAACCACCCTGTCTTCTACCTTCAAGCCAGTTCTGTATCCAAATGGCTAGTTCTCATTGTATTCCTTGTGATCTACCTTGCTAATCAGTCTACAATGAGGAACCTTGTTGAATGCCTTATTGAAATCCATATCGATCACATCCACTGCTATGCCCTCATCAATCCTATTTGTTATTTCAAAAAACTCAATCAAGTTAGAGAGACACGATTTCCCATGCACAAAGCCATTTTGACTATCCGTAATCAGTCCTTGCCTTTCCAAATACATGTAAATCCTGTCCCTCGGAATTCCCTTCAACAACTTGTCCACCACTGATGTCAGGCTAACTGGTCTATAGTTCCCTGGCTTTTCCTTACCACCTTTCTTACATAGTGGCACCATGTTAGCTGACCTGCAGTCTTCCACCATCTCACCTGTGGCTATTGCTGATACAATTATCTTGACAAGGGGCCCAGCAATCACTTCCCTAGCTTCCCATAGAGTTCTAGGGTACACCTGATCAGATCCCAGGGATTTATCCACCTTTATGCATTTTAAGATGTCCAGCGCCCCCTCCTCAATAACATAGACATTTTTCAAGAATTCACTATTTATTTTCCCATGTTCTCTATCTTCCATATCCATCTGCACAGTAAACATTGATGCAAAATACTCGTTGAGTGTCTCCTCCATCTGCTGCGGATCCACATATAGGCAGCCTTGCTGATCTTTTAAGGAGCCCTATTCTCTCCCTCGATGCTCTTTTGTCCTTAACATATTTGTAGAATCCCTTTGGATTCTCTTTAACCCTATTTGCCAAAACTATCTCATGTCCTCTTTTTGCCCTCCTGATTTCCCTCTTAAGTATACTCCTACTGTCTTTATACTCTTCTAGGGATTCACTCAATCCCTGCTGTCTATGCTTTCTTCTTATTCTTGACTAAAACCTCAATTTCTCTAGTCATCCAGCATTCCCTACACTTACCAGCTTTGCTCTTCACCCTAACTGGAACATACTATCTCTAGACTCTTGTTATCTCATTTCTGAAGGCTTCCCATTTTCCAGCCGGTCCTTTACCTGCAAACATCTGCCTCCAGTCAACATTTGAAAGTCCTTGCCTAATACTGTCGAACTTGGCTTTCCTCCAATTTCGAACTTTAACTTTTAGATCCGGTCTATCCTTTTCCATCACAATGTTAAAACTAATAGAATTATGGTCACTGACCCCCAAAGTACTCCCCCACTGACACCTCAGTCACCCGTCCTGCCTTATTTCCCAAGAGGACGTCAGGTTTTGCACCTTCTCTAGTAGGTACATCGACATACTGAAATCAGAAAATTTTCTGTACACACTTAACAAATTCCTCTCCATCCAAGCCCTTAACACTATAGCAGTCCCAATCTATGTTTGGAAAGTTAAAATCCCCCACCATAACCACCCTATTATTTTTACAGATAACTGAGATCTCCTTACAAATTTGTTTTCTCAATTTCCCGCTGACAATGGGGTGTCTATAGTACAATCCCAATAAAGGTGATCATCCTTTTCTTGTATCTCAGTTCCACCCAAATATCTTCCTTGGACATATTCCCAGGAATCCCTAAATATAGCCGTAATGTCACCTCTAATCAAAAATGCCACTCCCCCTCTTCTCTTGACACCCCCCCCATCCTTCTATTGCATCTATATCCTGGAACCACAAGCTGCCAATCCTGTCCATTCCTGAGCCACGTCTCTGTAATTGCTATGATATTCCAGACCCATGTTCCCAACCATGTCCTGAGTTCATCTGCCTTACCTGTTAGGCCTTGTGCATTGAAATAAATGCGGTTTAATTTCTCAGTCCTACTTCATTCTCTGCTTTGTTCTTGTCTGCACTGACTGTTTGACTTACTCCTTTTCCCAAACGCCCACCAGTCTCAAACTGACCTTTTTGCTCACTTTCTCCCTGGGACCCAAATTCCAGATATATTTTTGCCAGGAAGCTGTGAACAGAAATCACTGCATACTGATCATTCTTAGTCTTAATTGTTAGACTCTACTATTCATGCATGTCTACCTCTTCAACGTAGGAAGCCCTTCCTTCCATTTGATGCATTCATCTGTCCTAAATTTTCCAGTGCAGTTCATCATCTGTTTTCTCCCATGTATAGTATCTTGGGATGGTATCTACATTAATCAACAATTGTACAATCAACATTTAAGCTGTTGCCCTGCAGCACAAAACAGCCATTATCTCACTGGAGTCCCTCCTCCTGTTGAGTCTAATTACCTTTGTAACCATTTCTGGCTATAAAATTAGTCAAAGCACAACCAGCTAATTTGGTGGCTCCACAAAGCAATTAGAATCAGTCAGTAAATCCTCAACTATGTTGTTTAAATTCTTCTAAACTGAAGAAACAAAAAAAAGGAAACAATCCACTCTATAATAAAGTTATAAACACATAGCCTTACTATAATCAATGACATTTAGCTGGAAAATAAATCTGCATTATTATTGTAACCAACAATCCAGACAACATTAATTTCAGAAAGTTGTGAATTATTGTTTACGTATAATTCTTTACAGGAGGATAGATGAGTTTTTCAAAAACAGATGATTGGGCCTAGGACACAATCATCTTCAGCTCCTTCATCAATAACTTCCCCCCTATCATAAAAGTCAGAAGTGGGGATGTTTGCTGATGATTGCAAAATGTTCAGCACCATGCTCAACTCCTCAGGTACTGAAGCCGACAATTTCCAAATGCAGCAAGATCTGTACAATATCCAGGTGAGGCTGACAAATGGCAAGTAACATTTATGCCAATACAAGTGCCAGGCATTGACTATCTCTAAGAGATTATCTAACTGTCGTCCCTTGACATTCAACGGCACTGCCATTGTGGAACACCCCCACTATCTACATCCTACGGTGTTACAATTGACCAGAAACTGAACTAGACTCACCATATAAATGCTGCACCAAGAACAGGACAGAGGCTAGGAATCCTGCAGCAGGTAGCTCACCTCCTGAATCCTCAAAGTCTGTTCACTATCTACAAGACGTAAGTCAGGGTGTGATGGAATACCCATCACCTGCCTGGATGAGTGCAGCTCCAACAACAATCTAGAAGCTTGAAACTACCCACGACAAAGAAACCCATTTTACTGGCACCATATCCACAGACCACATTCCCTCACCACTGCTGCTCAGTAGCAGCGGTGTGGACCATCCACAAAATGCACTGTGGAAATTCACCAAGACTCCTTAGACAGCACCTTACAGTGGGAATAACACCTGAGAATGTGGTGGAAATAGCTTTCAAAAGGGAATGGAAAATTACAATGCAGGGAAAAGGCATGGGGAGTAGGACAAGTTCCACTCAAAACCACTCACCATCCTGATTTGGAAATCTATCGCTGCTCCGTTAGTGTTGTTGAGTAAAAATCCTGGAATTATCTCCATAAGGGCATTGTAGGTCTACCTACAATACATGGACTGCAACTGTTTAAGAAGGCAGCTCAATACCACTTTCTCAAGGACAATTAGAGATGGGCAAAAAAATGCTGGCCAGCCAGTGACACCCACATCTCAAGCCTGAATTTATAAAGGGGGAAACAATCCTATAACTTTAATACACTCAATAGTGGATAAGCACGGCTTTCTTTCTAATAAGTAAATTTTAGGACTATAATTAGGAATGAAAATCAGAGAATGTTACAGCATAGGAGGCGGCCTGTGGCCAGCACTCTTGAAGAGCTAGTCCTACTCCCCTTGCCTTATCAGTGTAGCCCACCAGTGTAATTTTCTGTTCAAAGCTATTTCCTCCACAATCTCAGTCAGTGCTTTCCAGGGCCTAACCACCCACCATTTAAAAGGGGTTTGTATAGGGCACCCCTGGTTCTTTTGTCATTCACCTTAATTAATATAATCTAGTTTGCAACTGCTTCCCTGCTGGGAAGTTAGTCCCTATCTACTTCATACAGACATCTCAAAACGTTTGAAATCCTCGACCAAATTTTTTCTCAACCTTTTCTTCTCCGTTGAGACTGGCCCCAGCTTTACCTCTCCATCTTCAGTTATTAAGATAGATTGGCAAAGATCTAAGATTTAAGAATAAGTTAGAAAGACAGTCTTGCACTGTATTGCAGCGTCATGGTCTCCAGATGCCCTGTAATTTTTTACAGCCAAACACTTTCAAATGTGGTTGCTATTCTTAGGTAGGAAATGTGGCAACCTGCAACATCCCATAAACTCCCATAAATAAGATAATGTCAAGATGACTTGTGTTATTGGCGTTGGTTGAGGGATAAATATTGGCTAGGCCACCATGAAGAATTCCCCTGTTATTCTTTAAAGTTGTGTTGCAGGATCTTTAACTTCTATCCAAGTGGGTAAAAGAAGCCTCCACTTAATGTCTCATCTAAAAGACCATCTCAGCATTGGGACAATCCCACAAAAGTGCCAGTACAGAATTTACATGACAGTATTTAAACCCACAACCACTTGACCCAGTGATGAGAAAGCCATTACTGAGCCATGGCTGACATGTCTGGAAACAGATCTCCCAAACGAAATCTATGAATATTAGCAAACAAGGGTGGTTTTAAACACACTTTCCTACATTCACATCAGAAGTTTAAAGAAAACCAAACCGAGATATTGATTAAAACTGACATTATTACAAAAACAGAGCTCATATGAGAAAAATTGAATTGCTTACCGTATCGTGGGGTCCATCTTGGAATAACCCTCATACTGTGTAATCTTCTGCAGTGCATAAATGTCCAGCTCAGGGCTCCCACACACAAGAATTTCCACTTCTTCTGGGAGCAGTAGCTGTGGAAGAATCAGTCTCTTATGTTCACTTGTTCTGCGCATTTGGAAAGCAAAATTGAAATTTTGCTCTCGACAAAGAAATCAATTCACTTCAACATTTCATAAGTGCAAAGATTTTTACTGTGTACTCCGACTGCTTCAAAAGAAACAGTTTGTCCTGGTTAAATGAATTAATAAACTTAACTGGAACATTGCGAGGTTAAGAAAAGCATTCTATTTGGACATTATTTGATTTTATTACATCACCATATTAAATAAGAAGAGTGTGGAAACGCCAGGTATATACTGAAAAAAAATTACAAAATAACTTCAATAAAATTACTAAATGATTATTTCCCAGGCACAGAGCACCATTTACTGGATAAGAAATTAAATAAGTCTCCTCTTCAAGGATCTAATACTACTACCAGATATGGGAAGCAGGACATTTTCCAAGACTACTCCATGAATCTCAATTGAATGTACTGAATTTGATACATTTGGTGAAGGTTTGTAAAGGACTTCAATCTGTTCAGGGCAGTTCCACGTTAACTCAGTTCAGTGAATATATCAATAATCTGTTGTGTACTAGTTCTTTAGAGAAAGCATTAACTTGTGGATCATAAGTATACTGTAGATCTATTACAGACATGGTTGTCTGTAATTTGGCCCTCAGCTGACTGAGGTTGATGTCAGTGTGATAAGTTATTCTGACACCTGGGGGAAGCCAGTCAGTAGTAAGTTGCAGTGTTGCTGCAAGGAAGATTGACAGTCGTTATTGTGGAATGACACACCAGTTTTGACAGGAAAGGAAAAGGGTCTGTTGTACAACCATTGTTCATAAATAAGAAAATGATAGCACTAATCAAAGTTCATAAACCTCATTTTTTTTCCATAGTTTATGAACTTAGCCGTATAGGCCCTTTAATATAACCTATATTTGTTAAAAAATATAAAATTAATTTAACTTTTTGAAATATTGAACAAGGTCACAAGTTGTTAAGCTGGAATGTTTTAAGTGTTTTGATCTTCACTGATTTTGTATCAAAAGTGAATCAGTGGATGTGAGATTTTGATGTGTGATTTTGGTTGTTTATTTAAAAAAAAGACACCTTGTCATTGGTAGATAGAATCACCAGAAGTGGGTGGGTGTATGTTCACAGTCCTGACAGTTTTCAATATAAATTCCAGAGCCCAAGAAAAATAATTGAGTATGGGTCACTTACTATCCACACTCAAATGTCTAAGTAATATTCTTTTTACATTGAATATTATTTGGAAGAAGTATTCAGGGAAATAAGGACAGAGAATTGAATGTTGGACAGGGACTTCAGTATGCACCGCCACAATTGGACCCCTAGAACCATCAATGGCTGATTTTGCCATGTCCTGGAAATTAGACTTATGTTACATGGTAGGCCAACTAAAGTATAGAGGCCAAATACTGAGGGTGATGGAAATCTGAAATAAACACAGAAAATGCTGGAGAAATTCAACAGGTCTAGCACCATCTGTCAAGAGAGAAACAGTTAACATTTCAAGTCCAGTATGACTTCTTCAGAACTGTTCATGCCAGCTCTGAAGAGTCATACTGGACTCAAAACGTTAACTCTGTTTCTTTCTCAACATGCAAAAGAAACATTGATCTTGTCCTTGGGGGCCTACCCATCTCAGATAATTTGTTGATACATTTATTAATAGGAACAGCCACTGTACAGCACTTGTGAAGTCTAGAACAAAATAAACATGTTCACTTTGTGCAGTGTAGTTTGACCATAGTGCTAAGCAGGCAGAGAAAAGACATAATTGGGTTACTCATGAATTCTTCTGAACCATCAGAAGCAGAATTATGCATACTATATAACACAACATCCTTACATTTCTCACTCCACTACTACATTAAGCCGGGAGACTAATCCTGGTTCAGTGGGGATTGCAGAGAAGTGTGCCAAATCCAGTAGTATACCTAGCTCAGAATAAGGGCATTTACTTTCTGAAATACAAAGCGCTATCTGCACACCAAACATCAGAATCCGCAGGTAACAGGTAGAAACCAGCAGTCCAACAAAGAAGTCACAGCACATCTCAGTCACCCAATTACATACAGGTCAAAAATGGCAGTACGCAATCCTGAATGAATGGGAGGAGAGAGTGTGTATGTTAGAGGGAGAGAGAGGGAGAGAGCGAGGGAAAAGGAGAGAGGGGAAATCCCTCCCTTATTCTAAATACTACAAACCAGACAAAAAATTGAAGAGGAAAACAAAATGACTCTTTCATCCTGAATGCTGGAATTCACTCACAATCAAACTACGGAATCTCAAACAATTTGCAGGACTCCAGACCCACAACAATGTGGTCGATTCTTAACTCGTTTCTGGGATGGGCAATAACTGTTGGCCTAGCCAGCAACACCCTCATCCTGTAAACAAAAAAACTAAGCATCATGAATGCATTGATTCAATTACCAATGTCAATGCTACTGGTAACCTCAAGTGCAATGGCCACAATATTCATCCATCTGCTTTTCATGAACATTTAGAGACTGGTCCTTACACCTTTATTTTAAAAAGAACTTCACAACTTTGTAGCTTACTTCTTATTTCCAATCTGTGTATGTCTTTCCTTTCTAATTCTTCTTGCATTTAGTAATTCATTAACTCACTCCTTGTTAACTCAAGAAAATCTAGTTAAATTAGCTACACAAGTCTACTTGGGTCTGGGAGAAAGATATCCACAAGGGAAAGGATTATTTCTAAATTAACCTTGTCGTGACCAACCATGGTGGGTGGGTGAATAACCAAGGGAAGCCTGTTCAACCCTCTTCACCTGGGAGCTTGACAGTTTAGGGTAACAAACGTAACAAAATGCAGAACCTAGCCTGGGATCTGGTCATAATAACTTAAAAATTTCTCTTTCAGCTAAAATCCCCTCCAACAATAGTAGAGATGGAAAAATCTTCAAATAGTGTTAGTTGTGACACCAACTCACTGATAAGCTGTTTACCATAACTCAATTCGTATATCACCTGATCTCAATCTTAATCCAGGAATAGTATATATGAACTGACTACCAGAGAAGAGGTTAGTGTAACCAACCTTTACATCAAGGCAACTTTTGATTAATCCCAGGAATCCTAAGGCAACTATACGATTGAATCATTGAATAATGATTTATTGTCATTTGTATTCTACAATGAACAATATGGTAAAATGCAGTAATAATTGAAGAGCTCTCCAGTCATTTTTTGGAATTCAATGATCACAACTGTAGGGCACTGCTGCAACAGTTTCTCAGTACAATGCTTTCCTGTATTAAGATCAGGAATGAGTAGTTTGCCCAACTTATAACCTTCCTGGTGAAAAATTTGAGCCTTCGTAACTTTATAAAGTACTAATGTGAAGGCAATAGACAACAGTTTATATAAAGATAGATCCGTTTTTGGAATTAGAAACTCATGTGAACTGGGACGAAGTGACATTCTCTAACTTTATTTTGCCAGTACATTCAGGACACATATTGAAAATAATGGAAGAAATATCTTGAAAGTCAGAGTTTTTTTATAATTCAGCCCTTAGGAAAAGACCTCACAGAGATAAAATGTGATGCCATTCATCATAGTCAAATTGAGTGGATTAAAGTGACAACTTCTTTATCAAGATTGAGATTAGAGTTGGAGAGAAAAATTATCTAATATATCATTATTTTAAAAGAGTTAGCAACTGTGCTAGTTTTATATTTATTGAGTGTGCTAGGAATTCACTCGTGCTCCAATTTCTATGAGCAAACTGAAAGTGTAGCTATTGGACCGCAGGTGCATGTTTGTAATGTAAATTTAAAAAAAATTATGAAGCGTGGAAAGATTAGACTCCATTAGCTATCCTTCACCACACGATTTTCTGGATTAGAACAAACTGTACCTCCAGTACAAAAATGCATAGGAATGGGAGGCATCATCAGGAGTGAAGAGAGCTACCCACTATCAATTGTGAAGAACGGTCACTAGACCTGAAATGTTAACACTGATTTCTTTCCATAGATGCTGCCAAACCTGAGATTTTCCAGCATTTTCTGTTTTTGTATCAGATTTCCAGCATTTGCAGGTCTTTTGTTTCTTTTTTGTCAAGACAGACATCTTTAGCGTGGGATCAAAATGGATGACAGCTGAGCGACAGGGAAATGTAACAACTTCTTTTTTGAACAAAAGGTACACTTAACAGATGTAACCGTGAATGTACAGAACTTATGAGCAGTATTGAAGTTGTGTAAGGAGGCTTTCAATTGATCCAACAGGTTAGGCAGATTTGTTTCAAAAGAGAACAAAAAAAAAACAAGTAGAGCTTGATCTGACAGATAATATATATGATCGATACAGAGTTTTGGCAAACAGCTTATTGGTGACTAGTTGCCACTAATTGATGACTCCTTCCACCTCTTTACAGAGTAACATTCTTAAGTTGGTGCCAGTTGGGATAACATCAGTTATTTACCAGCTACAGAAAGGAAGTTCAGTGGAGTGAAAGCAGCAGTAGGACCAAGCAAAGAATTTCCAAACATTGTTCCAGTTGGTCGAGTTAGTTTTTTTTCAGTAGGATTATTCTTAGGATTGCTTACAAGACAGGTATTTATTGCTCATCTGTAGTTGCCCATGTGATTGTAGCAGGCCTTCTTCTTGGATCTCATCTGTGTAAGAGGTACTCCCACAAGGCTATTAGATGGGAATGTAGCAACAATGATTGAAGAGTGATGTGTGTCCAACGCAAGATGGATCTGAAGAGGAATTTGGTGATGGTGCAACTGCTCCCAAGCACTGGTATGTTTTAGTTGGTGGAAGAAGCAAGGCTGAAGCGGTACTAAAAATTCAAACAAGATGTGACTAATTTAGAAGGTTGATTCATCTTACATATTCTGGAAGGGATGAATATGATCTGGTGGGAATTAGAGCTTAGCCGTGAGAAGACAGCCAAACCGTCATAAATAATATAACCGAGTTAATCAAACGAGAAGCAGAGAAGCAAATAGCTTTGTACCTTTAACAACTATTTGGAAGATGCTTACCATTAAAGCATTGGAGGCACATACACTATGAAACCCATAATAAAATGCTGCAAACTGTTTATATATGGACTTGTTGAGAAGAAAATCAATATAGAGCTGCACATATTCTGGGGGGGAAAAAAGTAAAATATCATTGTACAGACAGCATTGTATATTGTTCCCTTAGCTTTTAATAAACTTACATTCAGTTGAGTTTTTCAAATTGCATGACAACATTCAAGAATTTGGTATTTTAACTTTTAAAGTTTTGATTATAATCTTGTAACCTTTTTGCTTTTAATTATTTTGCAATTTAACTGCAAGCCAAACTTAAATGACACAAACATGCTAATTTGCTTCCTCAAATATTACTGACAAGATTTTTTGCTGAAAGAAATGGGCTAAAGGGCACAGTGACACAATAGATTCCTATAAAGATTGCTGACAGCAAAATGAACAATAAAGAAACATTTACAACTCTTTGAGGAAAGCTTTATAACTGCTTGCCATTGCTTTAAGCTATTCAGTGCACCTTTGTGCAAATTAGCAATAAAAAGTCTGACTGTTGAACAAGAACCATCACTTGCTTGCCTTGTCTGTTCTGATTGGTTACTGGGATTTTGTCACCACCTGGTTTGAGGTTACGTGATTTTATAATTCCAAATTCTTCCTGAAATATCTGAAATAAATAAAGGATAATAACATGAACTGACAGAACCATGAGTAACTGATCAGTTTCCATTAAAGAACAGGATTGAAAGATGATACGAGTATTGAACATCTGAATCGGAATGAGAGATAGTAGGAACTACCGATGCTGGAGACAATAGCGTCCAGCCCTGCCGGGTCTTCACCATCCCCCCAGACCTCCCCCTCACTGAGGGCGAACGGTCAGTCCTCAGTAAAGGGCTCACCTTTGTCCCCCTCTACCCAAACATCAACGAATACAATTCACGCTTGGACGTTGAACAGTTTTTCCGCCGCCTCCGCACTTACTTCTTTAATCGTGAACCTAACCCTCCCTCTACTGACCCATTCTCCCGCCTCCAACACACCCCCTCCTCCTGGACACCACCCCAAGGCCTCCTACCCTCGCTCGACCTCTTCATCTCCAACTGCTGTCGCGACGTCGATCGCCTCAACCTCTCCACCCCTCTCACCCACTCCAACCTCTCCCCCACAGAATGGGCAGCCCTCCGCTCCAATCCCAACCTCACCATAAAACCCGCGGACAAGGCAGGCGCAGTCGTAGAATGACACAGTGACCTCTACATCGCTGAGGCCAGGCGCCAACTCTCCGACAACACCTCCTACAGCCCCCTTGATCATGACCCCACCCCCGACCACGAAACCATCATCTCCCAAACCATCCACAACCTCATCACCTCAGGTGACCTCCCACCCACAGCCTCCAACCTCATCGGTCCCCAACCCCGCACCGCCCGTTTCTATCTCCTTCCCAAAAACCACAAACCTGACTGCCCTGGTCGACCCATTGTCTCCGCCTGCTCCTGCCCCACCGAACCCATCTCCACTTATCTCGACTCCATTTTCTCCCCATTGGTCCAGGAACTCCCCACCTACGTCCATGACACCACCCACGCCCTCCATCTCCTCCAAAACTTCCAATTCCCTGGTCGCCAACACCTCATCTTTACCATGGACGTCCAGTCCCTATATATTTTCTTTCTCCATGCAGATGGCCTAAAGGCCTTCTGCTTCTTCCTGTCCCACAGGCCCGACCAGTCCCCCTCCGCTGACGCCCTTATCCGCTTAGCTGAACTTGTCCTCACCCTTAACAACTTCTCCTTCCATTCCTCCCACTTCCTACAGACAAAGGGTGTGGCCATGGGTACCCGCATGGGCCCAAGCTATGCTTGCCTCTTTGTAGGATACGTGGAGCAATCCCTCTTCCAAAGCTACACTGGCCCTGTCCCCCACCTCTTCCTCCGTTACATCGATGACTGTATCGGCGCCGCTTCATGCTCCCACAAGGAGCTTGAACAGTTCATCCACTTCACTAACACCTTCCACCCCAACCTTAAGTTCACCTGGACCATCTCCGATACCTCTTTCCCCTTCCTGGGCCTCTCTATTTCCATCTCTGGCAACCACCTGGAAAGCAATATCCATTTCAAGCCTACCGACTCCCACAGCTACCTAGAGTACACCTCCTCTCACCCACCTTCCTGCAAAAAGGCCATCCCCTATTCCCAATTCCTTCGCCTCCGTCACATCTGCTCCCGAGATAAGGCATTCCACTCCCGGACATCCCAGACGTCCTCGTTTTTCAAGGACCGCAACTTCCCCTCCACAGTGGTCGAAAACGCCCTCAACCGTGTCTCTCGCATTTCCCGCAACTCATTCCTCACACCCCCTCCCCGCAATAATAACGAAAAAAGAATCCCCCTCATCCTCACATACCACCCTACCAACCTCCGGATCCAACGCATCATCCTCCGACACTTCCGCCATCTGCAATCCGACCCCACTACCAAAGACATTTTTCCCTCCCCACCCTTATCTGCTTTCCGGAGGGACCACTCTCTCCGTGACTCCCTTGTCCGCTCCACACTCCCCACCAGCCCCACCAGCCCCGGCACTTTTCCCTGCAACCGCAGAAAGTGCCACACCTGCCCCTACACCTCCCCCCTCACTCCCATCCCAGGCCCTAAGAATACCTTCCACATCAAGCAGATGTTCACCTGCACATCTGCTAATGTGGTATACTATATGCGCTGTTCCCATTGTGGCCTCCTCTACATCGGGGAAACCAAGTGGAGGCTTGGGGACCGCTTTGTGGAACACCTACGCTCGGTTCGCACCAAAAAAATTGCACCTCCCAGTCACGAACCATTTCAACTCCCCCTCCCACTCCTTGGACGACATGTCCATCCTGGGCCTCCTGCAGTGCCACAATGATGCCACCCGAAGGTTGCAGGAACAGAAGCTCATTTTGCTTGGGAACCCTGCAGCCCAACGGTATCAATGTGGACTTCACAAGCCTCAAAATCTCCCCTCCCCCGACCGCATCCCAAAACCAGCCCAGCTCGTACCCGCCTCCCTAACCTGTCCTCCCACCTATCCACTCCTCCCACCTCAAGCCCTACCTCCATCTCCTACCTACTAGCCTCATCTTGCCTCCTTGACCTGTCTGTTCTCCCTGGACCGACCTACCCTCTCCCTAACTCCCCACCTACACTCACCTTTACTGGCTCCAAGCCCACCTCCTTGACCTGTCTGTCTCCTCTCCACCTATCTTCTCCCTTATCCATCTTCTATCTGCCTCCCTCTTTCTCTGTATTTATTTCAGAATCCCCTTCCCCTCCCCTATTTCTGAAGAAGGGTCTAGACCCGAAACGTCAGCTTTCCTCCTCCTCTGATGCTGCTTGGCCTGCTGTGTTCATCCAGCTCTACACCTTGTTGTCTCTTGAATACGGAACGATTTATTTTATTAAAGGAATAATTCATTGATTTTCAATATTGGAACTCCCAAATTACTACAGAAAAGGCATTTGATACAAACACATGAAACATTTGTGTATAAAGGGCAGAATTTTAAGACATATACCTCTACACTTGTTATGGAAAATATCAACATTCTTCTGTTACAGAACAATCTCCATTGCAAGAATGTTGTATCATTTGATCATTCCAACAGGATAACAAAACCATTTTTGAAACAACTTGTACTATGACCTTACTGCTAATGGCAGACCTTTAATTTGAATTTGACAGCATAGTGGGCAGGGATTGTGGGAGAGCTTGATGCCTACGGATGTTTCTCTGCCCTATAGCCATTCCTCTTTAAAAATATTTAAGAAAAAATTTATTCATTTCCCTTTTAAATCTAGTGCTGATTCTGCATTTATAGCTCTCTTTGCTAACAAAATCTTGTTTTAAATCTAGGAAAAGATTGAGATCTTTATGTACCCTAGTTACTTTGAAAACATTCAATTTTGAACATCACTAAATCTTTCAAACTATTCATTCTAATGAAAAGAGCTCCAATTAAACTGTCATTATTCTCATCCCAACCCCACCCCTTGCACATTTTGAAGTACATAAATGAGCAAACTCAGTACAAATAAACAAAATTAATTTTTAAAAATGATACAGACTGAGAATTCTGATATATTTGATATATATCTGGATTTCAATAATTATTTTATTCTTTTCCTCAGAACAAAAAGACGTTTGAATCCAAATTAAAGTTAAGAACTTACTTGAAATGTGGAACAAAAGTCGTCTTCAATATTGCCTTCATAATTTATAAGTGCTGTAAGTCCATGAGCCAAGTCCTTCAAATGACAGACTTAATTGTTAATAATTCATTCATAAAGCTCACTCATTAATATGGTCTACAATTCTAGTACAGCTTTAGGTCACATTGTCCTTTAGCCTGGAGTATAATGGCTTATACTGCCTATAGATCTGTTTCCTAATCAGCAACAGCAGGGACACTTTGCAGGCAAAAATGTAGTCTCTTCCCTTGCCCAGATGGGCACCATCTAAACTTCTACCTTCTTTCAATAAATGTACTTACCTCTTTCATTGCGGGAATTCAAATATCATTTTTAAACTGGCCGTTGAACATGAAACCCTTTCACTTAATGCTCCATTTCTATAGCTATGTGAGCATGAGCTTGTTTTGATATTGAATCCATCCACTATCTACTTTGCAACTGAAACTTAAAGTTAAGTTTTTATGACATTTTGATATCAGTCCTTTGACGCAGTGGTAGAAATCTCAACTGAACAAACAACAGACTGGAAGAATTTTACATTTTGATTCCAAGTTGTGCTTGGGTCATTTAGAATTGAGATGTCATGCCAAAAGAAGGGGAAAAGAGCTGGTATTTCCATTACTGATTGATGTGCAGTGATTCAGCGAACATTAGATGAGAAGAGGATCATATACAGCTGTGAACAGCTGGCCAATACTCACTGCTTATGCTCAGATATGGAAAAGGTGCAAGCCCCTGCAATGCGGCACCTAAGCATAGGAGTCAACAACTTCAAAAAAAAGGAGAGAAAGGATGAATGCTAAAGTGGGGGAATATGAAAACATTTTAAAACAATTATGGCAAAATTTTCATGGCAAAATTATAAGTTGGTTCAGTTTATTGTTGTAAGTACATGATAGCTTGTAACATCTAGAATATTTGGCTGATGCTGCTCTAAATAAAATGTCTGTGTTACAAAACCTCTGTAAAAAGGAAAACTTCCAAAATAAAAGTTATGTTATTTTACCTGTAGCTGGTAACAACATACAATGATGCAAAGAAGTTCTCTTTCAAATTGTGCTCCAAAATATCACCAACAGAATTTTTAAATTCTGTAACAGCAGAAACCACATCATCTTCTAATTGTGTAAATGGTCACCATAACCGTTGCTTTCATTACTTCTAAACTACGTGACTTTGACACAGAGACTTTTTTGGGGAAAAAAATCCTTCCTTACTCGGGCAGTATATCCTGTGTACGTTTTCTGAGGTCTCTCATGATTATAAGCAACTTACTGAGTGATGGAATTAATTAACAAAATGTTAAAACCTGTGTGTTGTTTGACATGAAAGTGTGTGCAAGAGTACGTGAGCAACAGAAATAGCCTATAAAATCTTTGGTCAAACGAAAGCACTTGAATTCTACATCTTATAAAGACACTTACTGGCATAAGTTGGCGCAGGTCATCAAGTGTAAGTGATGCTACTCCAACAGTAGCATTCTGATGGGATGGAACAACAGGAGGACTCAGCAGCTTCTTATAGCAGCAGGGTGGAAACTGAACGTCCAGGGTGATACTATTATACACAGCCAGACCCATCAACTACACAACAGAAATGTTAAGGTAAAAAGCACAGCAAGCGAGTGCTACTAACGAAAAACAAAAACAGGGTTTCTCTCAAAGAAACAAAAATTTTAAATTTCCACAGAATAACCCACTACCTATAGGAGTGAAACTTGGTGTCAATTGTTCCCCTTTGTTTTGTAGGAAGCAAAAACTTCATTTATAAAAAAATGAATTATTAGTCCTCACTGTTTGCGGAGATTTTAACTAGTTTTAACAAAGTAAATGCCATAATTCTTGAAATTCTCAGGGAGGTTTGTGGCAAAGTCCTATTTTTGGTCAGCCAATAATGAAGGGGTGCAAATCATCTAGTAACTTTTAATCATAATTAATTTCAATATGTTTCTTTCTCCACACAAATCACTGTTCTTTAAAATAAGCACATTAATAACCTTAAATTTTCCCAGCTAATTCTAGGCCACTGCACTGAAGAGCTAGAAGCGGTATTTGGTAATACTGTAAATAGAAATTTCTGACCAGCAAAAGTGGTTGAGTTATTGGTCCACAGCTAGCTGGAACAGTATCTTGTGGGATGCCCTGTTAGACTTGTTCCTGCATTCTTCAGTTTAGAATTTTCCCATTCCTAGGAGGTAGCAAGAAGGGAAAATAATTGGACAAGTTGACCCTGGAAAGATAGATCTTCTTTCTTCAGAACTCACCAGTTCAGTTCTGGGCTATTAGGAAATGTAGCCAGTAACTATATTCAGTAAGAGCATTGCTTAGAATCAGTTCCTGTCCAGCAGGGGCTTTATAAAGACTGCATTCTGACTTTACAGGACATTTTTCTCATTTTAGTCTGGTCAATTCTCAGACAGTTGCAGAAAACCTGCGCAGCTTTGTGTTTAAATGCGGTCTGGTTTTGTAACATTCACTGGGGAATGAATTCAAATGACTTGAAATATTCTATTTTCTTTGCTTGGAGCTAATCATTGCTAAGAGATTTCTGTTATGTTCTAACCCTGAAAGTCCTTGAAAAATAGCAATTTACTTTTAAAGTGCCCCATTCAATATACCTCTCTTGGAGTACTTACTATTGATGGCAATTTCATATTAATTCACTAGGCAAAGGATACAGCTCCGACTAATCGAAATTCAGAGTAGCTTTCACATTTAAGGCTACTGAACCAATAAAACCGTGAATCCCATTGATATGTAAACATTCCTGTTAAACAAAATGAACTGAAATTTGTGACCTTTTAAAAAAAACATACATACAAATGATTTTTGCATTACAGGTGCATCTAGTTCTGAAGTAAATTTTAGTAGGTGTAGAAGAAAAACGTAAAGAGACCCCTCAAATATCTTGCAACAACCAGGATTTCCAATTGGCAATGGGGGCAGACCATGTCGCTCTGGATCATGTCCAGAATATGTTAGAAGGCTCAAGGTAGGAGCCTTGGATATTGGCCTTGATCATGGAGTGGGTGAGGTTGTGAGTCTGCCTTTCAAATACCCTGCTCAAAATGGTCAGCTTGAGAATGGTGGCAGGAAATTGGCTCATCAGCCAATATTTCTGATGGTCACCTGTCACCAATCTCACTCTTGGTGATAAGAAATTTAATCCCATAGTACTTATTTCACTTGCAATCAGTAGAGTTGTAAAATAAAAAAGGTACCCTCATATAACACACTTGTAAAGCTATGCATATTTGGGACAAAAAGGTGTAGAGCTGGAAGAACACAGCAGGCCAAGCAGCATCAGAGGAGCAGGAAAGGCCTCCTGCAGTGCCACAATGATGCCACCCAAAGGTTGCAGGAACAGCATCTCCTATTTTGCTTGGAAACCCTGCAGCCTAATGGTATCAATGTGGACTTCACAAGCTTCAAAATCTCCCCTCCCCCGAATGCATCCCAAAACCAGACCAGCTCGTACCCGCCTCCCTAACCTGTCCTCCCACCTCAAGCCCCACCCCCATCTCCTACCTATGAGTCTCATCCCGCCTCCTTGACCTGTCCATCCTCCCTGGACTGACCTATCCCCTCCCTAACTCCTCACCTACACTCACCTTTACTGGCTCCAACCCCGCCTCTTTGACCTGTCTGTCTCCTCTCTACCTATCTTCTATCCGCCTCCCCCTTTCTCCCTATTTATTTCAGAATCCCCTTCCCCTCCCCCAATTCTTAAGAAGGGTCTAGACCCGAAATGTCAAAAAGCTTTCCTGCTCCTCTGATGCTGCTTGGCCTGCTGTGTTCATCCAGCTCTACACTTTGTTGTCTCAGATTCTCCAGCATTGGCAGTTCCTACTATCTCTGTAGCATGTTTGGGACAGCAGTTTTGGCTTATACTTACCGGGCTAGAATCTGGATTTCTATGACTAAGGCCAAGAATCATAAAATCTTCATGTAGTTTGCATATCTCCTTCTTTACCAAATATAAACTAATCTAATGTTACTAAGTTTTTTTTATTCATTCACAGGATGTGAACGATGGCCAGGCCAGCATGCATTGCCCATCCTTATTCCCACAGGGTAGTTCAGAGTCAACTACGTTGCTGTGGGTCTGAAGTCACAGGTAGGCCAGACTGGGTAAGGATGGCAGTTTCCTTCCCTGAAGGACATCTGTGAACTGGATTTTTCCAACAATCGACAATGGTCATCATTAGACTTTTAATTCCAGATTTTTTTTATTGAATTCAAATTCTACCATCTGCTGTGGTGGGATTTGAACCCAGGTCCCCAGAACATTACCTGGGTCTCCAGATTACTGGTCTAGCAATAATACCATTAGGCCATTGTCTCCCTAATATTCATGATTGAAATGGTCATTAAAATTAAATTAACACGAGTTTATTTTGTAAATCCCTTTATAACTTAAAACAATGAACCAGAACTTATGATCTCTAAACAGTCAGCAATCAGACATATCCTGATATGTATCAGGATCCTTTGGAGCCCCGATTACGAGATAATTGGTCAGGAAGTTTAAACTTCCAACGATCACTTACTAGCATCCAGAACCCTCCAGAAGAACCCCAATACTGAGTTGGAATCAAGACTTCAGAGAGTTCTAACTTACCTGAATAGTTACCTAGAAAAAAAATAAAGAATGTTCTAACCTCTGGATAACAAGAGAACTGATGACCCTGCCTGAGGATCCCCCATTACCCAACCCCTAACCCAGCGATCTGACATCCAGCCTGATTTCTAACCCACCTCTCCACGACTAATCCTTCCACCCCACTTTCCCCTTACGACCACTCATTTTTCCTAGCCCTTCATTCACTCACTGCTACCCTATGCCCTCAGCTGTCAAGATTCACTCACATTTTCATCTAATACACTATCCCCTCAGCCACCCATGTCATCCTACTTCTTTACCCATCTTCCCTCCGTAACTTGTGAAAGTGCCATTGAACCTTCATACCCTTGGATACAGCAGTTACTGCTGTAAAAAGGGGGTGTCTTCAGCGCTGCACAGGAAGATTTCCTGATCAGATACGTTCTATGTTTCTAAAGAAGTGGCCCAGATTTGACATTCTGGCCAGAAATGTGAAGTTCTGGGGCAAGGTAAATATAAAGGATCAGAGTGGCTATTCGAAAATGATAAATAAACAGTATACCGTAACTCTACTGTGATTGCCACTCTTCAGAATAGTGTGCCAGTGATCTAAGTTCTTCAGAACTTCTGATGTTTACATGATTATTTTTGAGTTCTAAAATAAATGCATCAGTATCGGGTCTTAAAAAAAATCAATGTAAAATTCATGTTTAAAAATAGTTAAGTATGCTTTAATCATGATTGATCAGAATTATATTTATAGTTAAACTTCAGTTAAGAAGAATAATTTTATAGTATAACAAATTGCTTTAACTGGTAAACCTTCATTTTGGTAGTGTGCATAAAGATGGGGCTTTTTAATATTTAAATGATTTTTGAAAATGCAATAGTAACAAAGAATTTAAATTAAGTTTATGAAAATGGAGAAATGAATTAAATATCAATTCTCTTTCCACTAAGCTTTACCTCAGTTTTCCTTATTTGTTAATGGATAAGGCAAACTTTCTGTAGACTGCTATCATTAATCTTCTAATATTGTTTTGCACTTTAATTCTCCTAAAGTTTTGTTTGGCAATAGATCAATGGTCCTTCCTACAGAGGTCTGCCTTACAGGCTCTAAAATATTAAATTAAGTATTAAAATAACTAAATATTGAAACCATATGGTGAACTTATTAATGTTCTCATTCATCTGCTCAATGCTGTATTTTAAAAGAGTATTTATGCAAAAGAGGAAAACCACTACTGCAACTGATTTTGAAAATTAAATTTTAGGTTAATCTTTGATCTGTACATTTCTTTTACTCTTTCATGACATGTGGGTCTCACTGCCATTAAGATGGTAGGGAGCCACTTTCTTGAATTGCTTCAGACCATCTAATCTGGTTATTGCTATTCTGCAGTCGGAAGGGAGCTCTGGATTTTGACCCAGTGACCATGAAGAAACAGCAAAATATTTCCAAGTCAGAATGGTGTGTGGCTTGAACGGTAACTTGTAGGTGGTGGTGTTCCCCTGGATAAGGTAACATTGATTATTGAATCTTTTTTGTTATTATATTTACCAAGATACATAGTGGATACTTAAGAGTGGCTAAATCGTGGAGGCAGGGTGGTCATGGGGTTGGGTTGCGGAGTAAAGGGAGAATGGGTTTGAGAGTTAGCAATCACTATTACAACTGTGCCAATATCACCGTAAAGCAAGATGGTTCTTTTAGCTTGCCAGCTTCACCATCCACCTGCTTCCTTCACCACCGTGGGCCTGCATCTGGGGAACTTGCAACGTAAATGGGTTTGTAGAGTTAAGAGCTTTCCTGACTAGATCATCCCATCTCTTACTTGAAAATCTGGCCCTGTATTTCAAAACAATAGCATTGCAATCTTAGGTTTCTTAACCTTGAGTTATCTAAAAAACAAAGAACAGGACAGCACAAGAACAGGCCCTTCGACCCACCAAGCCTGAGCCAACACGTGACACCTTTCTAAACTAAAATCCTTTTGCTACTACGTGGTTGGTATCGCTCTGTTCCCTACCTATTCACGTATCTGTCAAGATGCCTCTTAAACATTGCTATTGTATCTGCTTCTACCAACTCCTCTGGCAGAGCATTCCAGGCATTACCACTTGCCTATCACATCTTTAAACTTTCCCCCTTTTACCTAAAACCTATGTCTCCTAGTAATTGGCATTTCTACCCTGAGAAAAAGACTGCAAAATCCATTATATCTGTGCCTCTCAATTTTGTAAACTTTGATCAGGTCGACCCTCAGTCTCTGACGATCAAGTAAAAAGAATCAAGTTTGTCCAAATTCCTCTTATAGCTAACAACCTGGTACACCTTTTCTGTACCCTGTTTCAAAGTCTTCACATTCCTCTGGTAGTTTCACTGCCAGAACTGTACACAATATTTCAAACATGACCTAAATAAATTTCTATATACTTGCAACATGGCTTGCCAGTTTTTATACACTGTACCCTGACCGACGAAGGCAAGCAAGCCATATGCCTTCTTGACCACCTCATCCACTTGTGTTGCCACTTTCAGGGAACTGTGGACCTTTATGCCTAGAAACATCTGTATGTTGATGTTTCTAAGGGTTCTACCAGTTACTGTATACTTGCCTCCTGCATTAGACCTTCCAAAATGCATCACCTCACATTTGGCCAGATTAAATTCCATCAGCCATTTCTCTGCCAAGTTTCCAGCCTTTCTAATATCCTGCTGTATCTTTTGGCAATACTCCTCACCATCCACATCTTCCCCAATCTTTGTACCATCCTCAAACTTACTAATCAGGTCACCTACATTCTTCTCCAAATCATTTAGATACATATTACAAACAACAATGATGCCAGCACTGATCCCTACAGAACACCACTGGTCACAGATCTCCAGTCAGAAAAACACCCTTCCACTGCTACTCTCTGTCTTCTATGACCAAGCCAGTTCTGTATCTATTTTATAGCTCACCTTGAATCCCGTGTGACTTTACATTCTTTATCAGCCTGCCACGAGGAGCCTTGTCAAAGGCCTTGTTAAAGTCAATGTAGACAACAGCCACTGCCCTGCCCTTATCAATCATCTTGGTCACTTCCTCAGAAAAAGAATTAATCAAGTTTGTGAGACACAATCTCCCCCGCACAAAGCCTCTGTGCCTTTTGCTAATAAGTCCATATTTTCCCAAATGTAAGTAAATCCTGTCCCTAGCAAATCCTATCTTATAATTTCTCTACCACTGACATTAGGCTCACTGACCTATAATTTCCCAGATTATACCAGTTGCCTTTCTTAAACAAAGGAACAATATTGGCACTACTCCAATCCTCTGGGACCTCTCCTGTGACTAAAGAGGATACAAAGTTTTCATACAAGGCCCCAGCAATTTCCTCCCATCCCTCCCTCAGTATGCTGGGATCTAAGCACAATATGATATATTTACATTAAAAGAAACAACAATTTTTTTGGACATTTTATAAATTAGCCAAAAGACTTCTAAAATTTATTTTACAATGTTATCATCAGATAAATGGAAATGTACTGCCACCTACTGCAATAATACAGAATTCACAGACATTAGATGGACTGCTTTTTACATAACTATTATCATTTTAAAATAATCCAGTAAGGAGACATTAAGTCACGAAACAAAGAATAAATTAAAGTGACTCTTTGTGGAAGGGCACAATTAATGAAGAACAAACAAGAAAAAAAATCTGGAAAAATGAAGAAACTTGCAAAGATAATTAAAATTACCAGAGTCCAAGATGGGATCCAGTCCCTGTGATGCCACCAGTTGCAGAAAGACTCGCGCATAACTCTGGGCAATGTCAAGGCCATGGAGGAGAGACAGGCAGTTACCTATACAGGCTGCACTGGCCATCATGACCAGGTCTATGAACAGAGTCATGAGGAGGTGCTCAGACTGGCCTGCTACTCCATGTTATAGAATCTCTACGGTGTGGAAACAGGCCATTTGGCCATTGATCTGCACCAACCCTCCAAAGGACATCCCACCCACACCCAAATGCCCGCCTATCCCCGTAACCCCGCATTTACCATGGTTAATCCACCCAGCTTGCACATCCCTGGACACTATGGGGCAATTTAGCATGGCCAATCCACCTAACCTACACATCTTCGCACTGTGGGAGGAAACTAGAGTATCTGCAGGAAACCCACGCAGACATGGGGAGAACTTGCAAATTCCACACAGTCACCCAAGGCTGGAACTGAACCTGGGTCCGTGGTGCTGTGAGGCAACAGTACTAGCCACTGAGCCATCACGCTGTCCCATGCCACTGATGTACCTGCACCCCACTTCCACTACAATTCACCCCACTATCACCAGGTGACCAAAACACCATGAATAATGACTTAAGCAGAACCAAAGCACCTCCTTCAAATAGTGGCCCAGCAAAATATGATGGGCTACAAATCTAAACCTGGGGCAATGTACAGAGTGTACAAGGTGATGTACAGAGAATTGGAGGATTAAATTACTTCAATTCAACAGATTCACTTGCTCCCAATAGAAGTGCTTTCAGAAAACTGATTTATTAATTTTACTACTTTTAAATCTTACCATAATCAGGTTGGAAGATTTGACGAATGAGCAGAAGAAACCACTCTTTGGTAAGACCGCCCATATCTAATCCGGCTTCTCCATCAAAGGTGACTTTCAATTTCTTTTTTAAATCTGCCCTTTTCCTCGTTAACTGTAACATAAAGAGGTGCTCAGAGGGAAGATGAGGATTCAATTTCATGTGTCATTTACTTTTTAAAAAATGAATTGTGGGTAAGAGAAAATACATCCTTGACATAGAATCATGGCCTCCATTTGCACTGCAGGGATTCTATTTGACCCAGAGTTTATACCGACTCTCCAAAGAGCAATCCATCCAGACTCAGCCCTCCATCCTACCCCCTGCATTTAGCATGGCTAATCCACCTAACCTGCATGTCTTTAGATTGTGGGAGGAAACAGGAGCATCTTGAAGAAATCCACGCAGACATTGGGAGATCAACAAACAAACAAACAAGTCACCGAAGGCTGGAATCAAACCCTGTGCTAAGCACTGTACCACCATGCCGCCCCATATAACTACAAATAATCTGTCTAGCTTTGTGCTTTAGTTTCTGTATTAAATCGTGCCAAAGTCTGCTGTTAGCACCATCAACACATTTTGTCAGTCAAATAATTTAGTGCAGTTACAAGATGACAGCTAGAGTGGCATTTTTGACAGTCCATTCAATCAGAGTAGTTGTGCAGAATTCTACATCTCACTGATCATCAGCAATTATGTCTTTTTTCCTTTCTCTATTGCTTAAAGCTGTGGCTGGTATATCAAGAAAATAATACACCAGGTGTGGCAGGCTGCATTTGCTGTGGGGCTTGCAAGAAAACTGCCACATTCACCTACTCCCTTCCTAAGCTCGCCCCATCACTAGTGCTCTCCTCACAACTTACAACACACGTCTTAACTTTATTACTATACACTTGTTCTTGACTCATATGTGCTATGCAATGGATGATCAATTAGTGCATAGTAATTGAGTCCTTGTACACAGAGATAAGACTATAAGATGTAGGAGCAGAAGTAGACCATTCAGCCCATTAAGTCTGCTCTGCTATTCAATGAGATCATGGCTGAGCTGATAAGCCTCAACACCACTTTCCTGCCTTTTGCCCCATAACCCTTGATTCCCTCACTGATTAAAAATTTGTCTATCTCATTAAGTATATTCAATGACACAACCTCAACAGCCCTCTGCAATAAAGGATCTATCCTCAAGAGAAGAAAATCCTCCAAGCGACATCTTATTCTGAGATAATACCCTCTGGTCATAGACTCTAGTACAAGTAGAAACATCTTTTCTGTATCTACTCTATCAAATCCCTCAAGAATCTTCAATGTTTCAATAAGGTCACCCTGCATTCTTCTATATCCCAATGAGTAAAGGCCCAATCTACTCATTTCTTCTCATAAGAGAGGCCCTCCATACTTGGTATCAGTCTAGTGAACTTTCTCTTGGCTGTTGCCAATGCCCGTATACCATTCCTTAGAGAGGATATCCAAAACGGTTTACTGTATTCCAGCGTGGTTTGACAAGTGCTTTGTGTAGTTTTAGCAAAACCTCCCTACTTTCATAATCCATTTGCCTTCCCAATAGCCTACTGAACTTGGATCCTAGCTTTTTGTGATTCATGGACAAGAATCTCCAAATCCCTCTGTTCATAGTTTTCTGCAGTCTTTCTCTAATAATGTAATTTAGTAATATTTCATCTCTAATCAGAGCCAAAACATTTCCCTACATCATATTCCATTTACATTTGTCCACTCGCTTAACCTATATACCTCTGCAGATTTTGTGTCATCATTCACACTTTCTTCTTACCTATTTTAATATAACATTTTTGTTACCCTTTTGTTACCTATGATTGTGGTATGTGTTAGCATTCACATATTATAGATATTGCAGATTTTTAACAAGATCTTTTTATAACACAATAATGATATTAAACCCAATTGGAATACACCTTATACCGTACATTTATTTCACAAATAATTTAAAAAATTGCAGTGTCTCTTTGGTCAAACTAACTATTTAATTAGTGACTCAATTGATGTCATTCATTATAAAAGTGACATGCTATAAAAGCAAAATACATACAAAATTGCAGTTTACTTAATTTATATTAGCTTATTTATCTAGAACAATCCTACAGATACCTTATCTTCAAATCTCACCAACCACTTTTTCCTAAACAATTTCAGCAATTGCTTGTCTACGATTGAACAATTTGTTTATGAAAATCTTCTAGGTGATCATTCCAAATTTCCCTTTGACTATTTCTGAAACTGTATCTCTTTGACCTTTTCTTCTCTTTCATGCATTTTCCAGATCAATCAAGAGCCTTTCAAAGCAGAAAATCTCAAGACTCTGAACTTGGTGACCAGAGCCGAACAAGAAACTAGAGATATTCTGAGCTAAAGACTTGCATTTGGGCATAACACCCTCCAACTTTTATAGTTCAGCATTTTATTAATTTTGTTTACTGTTGGTTCACGGTGATCAGGAATGTCGATCTTTATCTCTTATAAAATACAAAGTCTCGCAACATCAACTCCAATATTTCAACACTATCCACAATATGTCTCATTCCATTGTTTTTCTTTCTCTGCAAATTTTATTTATCCATACTAAATACAAAAAAAAAATAAATGGAAGATAAAATATTTTATCTAACTCACTTTGAAATCCTCTAAGTGCCTATTAGATTCAACTGCCTCTCTTAATTTGGTACTAATTACAAATGTAACTAGCTTACACTTCTGAACACAGGTTGTCGCAAAACCTTACTGCATAGCAAGAGACTATTTGGCCCAATGTGGCTGTTTGAAAGAGCTTTCAATTAGATCCACTCTTTTCTAATTGCCCTGCAATTCTTTCTTTTCTCACACATATTTAAGTCTCTTTTAAATTTCCTATTGAATCCGTTTCCATTCCATTCCTTTTAGGCAGTGCAATTCATATCATAAGTTGCTTTGTTGAAATAAATGTGTCCATATTATCCCTTTGGTTCCTTTGCCAAGGCAACTCCTCTAACAAATATGTGATGCTTAATACCCTTCAACCATTTTCTGAAACATTCTCAAGTTTTAGCCTTAATGTAGACCATGTTAAGCCTGAAGCATTAGCCAAATGCTAAAGGTTGGTTAACTGAGGAAAATAGAAGTTTGAAGCTAAAATCATCAGCAAAAGAATTATGCACCATGTCTTAAAAATGTGCACAGACATACACAGTTAAAAAAAAAAGCACAACACCAACACAGTCATGGCCCTTAAACAGCACCTTCCAAACCCACAACACATACCACTTTGAAGGACACACTCAGCACACACACAGGAACACCACAACCTGCAAGTTACCTAGGACCCTGGCCAAGCTGTTAAGTACAGTTACAATGCTGGAATCAAGCAAACAAAATGCAAAGCTGCCCAAATAAGGCAGGACAAATCAAGCCCAGCCAATCATTTTGTGATCAGACTACACTCAATCCAAGTGATTGAAGCGGTTGCTAATGCTGCTATTACATAACACCATCACAGCATAGGACAAAGGAAGATGACTGTGTCTGTGAGAGGTCAATCAAGGAGGGAGAGACTGGGTCATTTAATATTTTTAAGATGATGACAGATTCTTGTTAGGCAAGGGAATTGAAGGTCATCGGGGGTAGACAGGGATGTGGAATTTGAAACACAAAAGATCAGCTATAATCTTATTGTGGAGCAGCATCAAGGAGTTGAATGGTCTACTGCTCCTATTTTGTATGTTGGTATCACTTTAGCTCCAGGAGTTCTTCAGAGTAGTGTCCGAGGCTCAACTATCTTTGGTTGCTTCATCTATCATCTTCCCTCCATAAGATCACAAGTAGTGACTTTTGCTGATGATTGCCCAATATTCAGCACCATTCATGACTCCTCAGATAGTGACAAGCAACCCATGTCCTTAATCAGGAAGGACTGTACAATATCCAGGCATGGGCTGATAAGTAGAAAGTAACAATCACACCAGACAAATGCCAGACAATGGGCACCTCCAACAGGAGAACCTAACCCTCACCCCTTGATGTTCAATGGCATTCCCATTGCTGAACTCTCTGTTATTCAAAGTCTAGGAGTTACCATTTATTAGAAATTGGATTTGGCCAGCTATGTAAATATGGTGGCTACGAGAGCAGGTCAGAAGGTGGGAATCTAGCAGTAACTCATGTCTCCCCATAGCCTATCCACCAAGCACAAATCAGGAGTGCGATGAAATATTCATCACTAGTCTGAGTGGGTGCAGCTCCAACAACACTCAAGAAACTCAACAGCACCAGGGTAAAGCAGCCAACTTAACTGGAGTAACTCACCAAGCCTCCTTCCACAGCATATTTCAAACTGGTGACCTATATCTTCTAGACGGACAAGGGCAGGAGATACATGGGAACAACACTACCCGCAAGTTCGTCTCGAAGTCACACACCAACCAGGACTTGGAAATATATCACTGTTCCTTCTGTATCGCTGGATAAAATTCTGGGAACTTTGTTCCAAGCAGTATTGTGGTATTACCTAAACCCAAGTAGTCTGGTTTATTCTATTTTATCTACATTTCTTTAGTGAAATAAAATCTGGTTTTCGCTACAGAATGATGCCAACAGTTTGGGTTCAAATCCCACACCGACTGAGGTTACTATGAAGGACTCTCCTTAACCCCTCTGTTCGCCGGAGGCATGGCGATCCTTAGATTAGACCACCACTTTGTAAATAAGAGCGCAGACTTGTTATGTGGCAAGATTATGGCAACTTTACCTGGATTGTTAAAACCAAATTTGCAGCTTTGCGTGCTTATATTTCAGTGAAACGCCATGTCATTCAACAAAACAATACAAAATACGATCTATCAAGCCACATTTCCATCTGGAATCTGACCTGTCCAATAGTAACATGAACTGGGATTATAACATTTGGATGTAGGCTGACCTATGCTGGTTCTTTGGCGTCCCATCTTTAAGAATAAACTAAGGGTGCCGTTCTAGCAGCTCTGGTGATTGTGTAGGGTCCACAGTCCTACTTGAAGCAGGCTATTGAGGTCTCCTGGGATGATGCTGCTTGGCCTGCTGTGTTCATCCAGCCCTGCACCTTGTTGTCTCGGATTCTCCAGCATCTGCAGTTCCTACTATCCCAGATAATTATTGTTTTTTGGAATATACAGCACATTGTATTTGCAACTATTATATAACTGCTGGTGGAGCTCGGCAGAAATAATTCACCATGGGTAGCTCCTCATGTCAATGCAAATGTTATTATTTGGTGTTTCATAAAACACTTGCACAAAAACTGAACAGCAATACTTAACTATTCACAATTGGTTTATTACAGCCCTTACAAAGAGGAAATTTTACATTTATTTAAATAATAATGGTCAACTTAATTACAAAAACAGATTTAAGACTGACATTACCTCATCCAGTGAATCGTTAACCAGATGCACACGTCTCACTTTAACATTTAGGAAAAGCATGTTCATGTCTGGCTTCTGTCTACGAGAAACTTTATCAACCAAGCTTTGCTGTACAAGAAGAAGGTGGTGAGAATTCTGAAGCTAGTGTGGCAACTTTTAAACATTTGCAAAGACACATAAACACAGTAGGACACAACTTTGATTATTTCTATATTTTTTATATAAAAAGGAAAAGCAGAACAGTGCTAGGAAATGGGGACTTTGTCCAGTTTGCATTTAGTATTAGCCTCAAGCATTCCAATACGTTAGTCTCTTTTTTTTCCAATTTGCTACAAACCACCTGAACTACACATTTTCATTTTTGTCAAAATTGTTCGATTGAAGCACATTTGTATCTGTATCGTTGCATTGCTACACTTAGAACTCATGTCCAATGGAAAGTAGGTTGAGAATCCAAGTTGTTCTTCATAGTACAGGAGCTGTAATAATGATATGATCCTCCTTGCAAGTGTTGGCAGGGAGTGACTAAAAATTTACAGCAGAGCAAGGATGACAAGCTTAAACAGTGGCAGGGACTAAAATTTGAACATTAGCTGGAATAAGAAACTAGAACTGTTCTGTTAATAATAGAATGAGATTTTAAAAAGATAAACAAGATAAGAGTTCTAAAAGCAAAATATTGTTCCTTCCTATATAAATGATCCAATAACAAACATTCAAAGTTTGTTTCCAAAAAAGTTGTCTAACATTTACTTACCCTAGCTACTGTAATCATCTGCTGTTCAGAGTCTCTCTGAATAATAATTTTCTTCGCTGTTAAGGAGAGAATGAAAGGAAACTGGCAGAAGGAAAACCTATAATTTAATAAAAAAAGGTATTCAAAAGTATATGGGCATCTGAATTAGAAGCACAATACTGTTGCAATCTAGCTGTACAATTTCAAATATATACTAGATGCAGGAAATGTATCAGACCTTTCCAAAACATAACCACTAAATATTTTATGGCATAGCACAAAACGTGTTCAGTTGTGAACCAGTTTAACATGCAGGTGTGAACAAAGACAAGCCAGAGAGCACTCAGTGAAAGAAAAGGAAAGCTTTTGGGATGCCCCGAGATCAGAAAATGTTTTACAACTAATTAATTATTTCTGAAGTGCAGTCACTTTGATAATGTAAAAATTGCAGCAATCAATTGCTCATAGCAAACTTCTCCCATCAGCAATTTGATACTGCCCAGGTAATTGTGTTTCCTATGCTGATTTAGGGATAAATATTGGCCAGGCCACCAAGGACAACACCTTTGTTCTCCTTCAAAATAACATCTTGGATCATTACTGTCCACCAGAGACAGCAGACCGGGCACCAGTTTAATGCTTCAACTAAAAGACTGTGCCAACAATATAGCGCTCCCTCAATACTCCACTATACTGTGTCAGCCAAGACACTTGTGCTCAAACCACTTTAATATGATTTGAACCCACAACCTATTGACCTCAGAGGTAAGAATATTAGCAAGTGAGCCATAGCTTCAGACACATAGTCAGACAGACACTTTAGTAACTATCCGTGTCAAGGTATATGCAGCAGTGACACTCAACAGAACCAAATAAGCAAGTCAGAAGCAAACCACGCAAGCAGGCTTGTTGAGACAAAGTGAAAACAATCATAATTGATGATCCCTAACACATTGTTCTACTGGATGGAGAACCAGTTGGCATGCAGTACTCAGATCAAATGAACCAGTAGCTGTGCCAAGATACAATCAGGACAGGTAGGTGGGTGAGCAGGAGAATACTTGAGCTGATTAAAAGGTATGGTCGTCCTCTGAATGGGAGGGTCAGAGATTTTCACAGTCAAATTTTGTTTTCTTTATTCATTCACAGGATGAGGGCGTCGCTGACCAGGCAGCATTTATTGCCCATCCCTAATTGCCCAGAGGGCAGTAAAGAGTCAACCACATTGCTGTGGGTCTGGAGTCACATGTAGGCCAGAGCAGGTAAGGATGGCAGTTTCGTTCCCTAAAGGACATTAGTGAACCAGATGGGTTTTTACCGAAAATCGGCAATGGATTCATGGTCATCATTAGATTGTTAATTTCAGATATTTATTGAATTCAAATTACACCATCTGCCATTGTGGGATCTGAACCCTGGTCCCCAGAACATTATCTGGGTCTCTGGATTAATAGTCCAGCGATAATACCACTAGGCCATCACCTCCCCATTTAATCACTTAGCAACATACCCCACTTTTCAGTTCATCAGTCATTCTCATGCAAAACTTTCTTCATCTACAGATTTTATCAGTTTGTGAGAAGTTTAGTTCCTTCTCTAATAACCAGTAATGATTGCAGCTAATGAAGGGACCATGGTTGAAAAATTAATTGGTAGCCCACTCACCATAGAATGGTGCAAGGTGTTGGAGATTGATGCAGAACAGGTGTAAGACATTCCTTCAGTTATAGATTACTTTCAATTGTAATAGTCAATTCCTGTAAATCACATTGTCTAAACAATTAAACATATTTATTCTAAATGTATGCTAACTGCATTATGTCTTATATTTCCAACACTTGCATCACAATGATCTAAATGATCTAAAATCCTCTCCATTTGTAAACCTCAACATGTTTTGTTTAAATACAGATAGCACAAGTGTTGCTAACTGAGTACTCCAGAAGGTGCAATGTGATTGTGAGACTGATCATTACCCATTTGTAATTAAAGGTTAAAAATCTGATGACTCTGACCAAAATTGCCAGTGCCCTGCAATGGGCCACATACCCTCAAGGGGGCACTCTTGTGCCATTTTTACAAACTATTAAACGAACAGCATGTTTTAACACTGGACTAATGTACAATGTGCATTTATTGTTCACAATTTAAGATCAATAAACCAAAAATGTTATTTATATGCTTTCAAAATAATCAATACCCCACTTCTCTGTTTACCAAATCTTGATACCTCTTTGACCACAAGATGAGTTTCTGACCAAATATTTATTACACTGTCAATGTTATGTATTTCTACCTTTGGAATACTGCCCAACACTGGCCCTGCCTCAATTCCTGGTGTCTTTGTCACTCACAGGCTTGATTATTTCTCTACAGTCTAGCTAGTCTCCCAATATATTACTTTCCACAAAATCTGAGACCACCCAAAACTCTGATACGGTTTTCCCAACTCACATCAAGTTCTGTTGCACCATTACCCTGCGGTCACTAACTTTCATTGGCTCAAGTTTGGAGAATGCTTCATTTTTAAAATTCTCATTGTTGTTTGCAGATCCTTTTCTGTCTCTGTTCCTCCTTTTCTCTGTAACCTTCTCCAACCCATAATTCTGTAAGGTACCCACACTCTCCTAATGATCTATTCAGCATGATTTAAAAAAAATGTACAAATGAAAATAAATAAAAAATAAGAAATGGGGCTTTTTTTAGGCTGTGAAACCAGAGGAGGCAATCAATTGCTATTGTTAATAAAACTATAAATTTCTGTTTGAAGAACTTAATTGGGACTTGGCTGTAAATAATAAACAATTGAAATTTTAATTCTAGATTGTTATTACTTGAGGTATCTGTTGAATTGTGTCTAAACAATTAACACATAAAAATATGATATAGTATGTAATGTGCCAAATGAGCAGTTATTTTCTGTGTGTTGCGGACGACACCAAAATTGGTTGTAGACAGTGAAAAAGGTATCTAAGATTACGAAGGGAACTTGATCGATTTAAATTACATAAATGTGAAATCTAGCATTTTGATAAGACGAACAAGGGTAGGACTTATACAGTTAATGATAGGGCACTGGGGAGTGTTTGAAAAGAGAGACCTAGGGGTTCAGGTAATTCAGGTTCATTGAAAATTGCATCACAGGTTGACTGGTAAAGGCAGCTTTTGGCACGCTTGCCTTCATTGCTCAGACCATTGAATACAGAAGTTGGGGCATTATTTTGTGGTTGTACAGGACGTTGGTGAGGCCACTTTTGGAGTACTGTGTACCGTTCTGGTTGCCCTGCTATAGGAAGGATATTATTGAATTGGAGAGTGTGCAGAAAAGATTTATAAAGGATGTCACCAAGACTGGAGGGTTTGAATTATAAGGAGAGGCTGATAGGCTGGGACTTTTTTCACTGGAGTGTAGGAGGTTGACCGGTGACATTAGAGGTTTATAAAATCATGAGGGGCACAGATAAAGACTATAGCAAAGGCCTTTCCCCTGGGGTGGGAGAGGTTCAAAACCAGTGGGCATAATTTTAGGGTCGGGGAAAAAGATTTAGAAAGAGACCTGAGGGGCAACCTTTTCACACAGAGGGTGGTTTGTATGTGGAATGAATTGCCAGAGGAAGTAGTAAATGCAGGTACTGGTACAACATTTAAAAGACATTTGGACATGTACATGAATAGAAGGGATATGAGCTAAACGCAGGCAAATGGGACTAGTTTAGTTTGGGAATCTTGGTCGGCATGGACGAGTTGGTCCAATGAGTCTATTTCCCTGCTGTAGGACTCTAATTCTGCTCACTTGAAATTTTAACTTCAATCGTCTGTGTCTTCAGCTGCACAGGACTTCAGCTTCAGAAATCCCTTTCGAAACATCCCAGACTCTCTGAAATAAAGAATTGTGGATGCTGGACACATGAAACAAAAACAGAAATTGCCATCTTTTTCCTCAATCAAAGATTCCCTGCTGACTCCCAAAACAATGACAGAGTTCCCCATTCCTCAAATTCCACTCAACAGCCAAAGGATCATAAGCTCCCATTTCCGCCACCACCAGGCACATATTCTCCTCTCCTCCCTTCTCAAAATTCTGCAGGGACTGTTCGCTCTGTGATCCTCCTCTCCCAACACCTCCCCGCACCCCCATGGCACCTTTCCATGCAATCCCGATAATGTCCTTCCATCTCACTATCCAAGGACCCAAACGCATCTTCCAGATGAAGCCGTGCTTCACCCACACCTCACTTCAATCTAGTGTATTGTATCTGCTGCTCACAATGTGGTGTCCTCTATACGGGGAGACAAAATGCACCAGGTGACCACTTTGTGGAATGCCTACATTCTGCCTGTAAAAAATTACCGTGAGCTGCCGCCTGTTTCCTGCCACTTCAGCATACCACGATGTTCCCTGGCCAACATCTCTGTCTCAGATTTGCTGCACTGCTCCAGTGAAGTTCACCACAAGCTGGAGGAACAGCATCTCATTTTCTGCTTGGGGACTTTGCAGCCTTCAGGAATCAGTATTGAGGAGTTCAATAATTTTAAGAGCCTGAACTCCTCCTTCCATGTCTTTTGCCCATGCCCACACTCCAGGCCCTGTCAGAACATGAGTTGCTTTCAACATAGCGACCCAGTTTTCAATAAAACCCAAAAGAACTGCGGATTCTGTGAACAGAAATTGCTGGAAGAGATCAGCAGGTCTGACAGCAGCTGTGGACAGAAATCAGAGTAAACATTTCAGGTCGAGTGGCCCTTCCTCAGAACAGTTCGGAGGACTCATTTTCACCCTCATATTCATGACCGTCTGGGATTATGTGGAAATACCTGTCCTCAGTGCATTTCTTCTCTGCTCGTGTTCAGATAAATAAGCTTTGCATTCAAAAGCAGTGAAGACCTTGTAAAAGTTCTGAAGGGCCACTGGACCAAAAACATTGACTCTGCTTTCTTTCCACAGATGCTGCTGGAGCTGCTGAGTTTCTCCAGCAATTTATGTTTTTATTTCATTTTCCAGCATCCACAGTTCTTAGGGTTATCTTTTAAACTCTGTAAAAGAAGTTGCAAATGGGCCTGCTGACTAAAGTAAATGGAGTAATTTCTGTTCTGATATCCCCATTTTATGGCTGTGAATGCTTCCATTAAAACACTGAACCACTTTTACCCGAACTGCCCAAGACCATAATCACAAAGCCGAAGCTCTGATGAAGAGTTATCTAGACTTGAAACGTTAGCTTGCTCTTTTTCTACAGATGCTGCCTGACCTGTGATTTCCATCATTTTTTGTTTTCAGTAGGAAAACCTGGTACTTGTCTTGATGACGGGGTGGGAGACAGAGACAGTGAAAATGGACTAGCTGTGCTGAAAGCAGTTTATCTTAGTGCCAAATTTCCTATCCTTCCCCCACTGGTCTGCACATTACCTAAATAGAAACACTCAATACAATTGCACCCTTCTCATTCCTTTGCTCTAGCCAAACCGATTCTGTCCTTGAATCCTCGAAAGCATCCAGTTTCTCCAGTATTGTGAAGTTATAATTAAACAAAAATGCCACCCCAGCTTTTTCCCTCTCCTATCGCTTCTAAACATCATTTAACCAGGAATTAACATTCAGGCCAGCCTTTCCTTAAGCCAGCTCTCCATTATCATCAAAATATCATAATTCCACAAGGAAATTGTGTCTGTGCCTCTCCAACCTTATTGACTATACTATGTATGTATACAATACATGCAGTGTAGCCCTGAATGAGACTTCAGTACTTCTCACTTTCTCCACCTGTTAACTTGCTTTTCTCTATTTCTCTATCTGCCTCTCCCAGTATTTTGTGCACCCTGATATTACTTTCTAATATTGTATCATGTTCCCTCACAGCTGCTGAAATAGTTTAAAGCCCCCCTAAGAACACAGTTACAGTGCGAGGAACTCAGTTCTCGCTCTGTTCAGAGGCAACCTGTCTGGCTTGTCTCACTGGAGACAGTTTCAGTGTCTCAGGAACCCAAAGCCCATCTTTGTACGTCATATTTTCCAGCTATGTGTTCATCTGTCTTATTTTACAATTTCTGTACTCAATTGTACATGGTAGTGGGATTAATCTAGAAATTACCATTTTAGAGGTCCTGCTTGTCAGTTTTCTACCTACCTCCCCAAATTGCCATTGCAGGACCACATCCCACTTCCTCCCTAGGTCATTGGTAGGAATGTGGACCATGATTTGTTGCTATTCACCCTCCCCAGAAGAATGTACTGGAGCCATTCTCTGACAACCTTAATCCTAGTTTCAGAGAGGCAACAACCATCCTGCAATCACATTGATGACTGAAGAAATGGCTGCATGTTCCCCTAACTATAGAATTTTCTAATCTGTTCTGCCCTTCCCCTCATCTTTCTCTCCTCCTGCACAGTTAGACTATCCACAATGTTACAGGCTTGGCCCTTACTACTCTCCCCCTAAGATTCATCACATTCACCAAGATCCAGAACTGCAAATTGGTTAGTGACCAGGACCTCTGGGGACTCCTGCACTACCCATCTATTAGATTGCCTGGTGGTCACCCATTCCTCAAATCCTGCTTGCCCCCAATTGGTGGTGTGACCACCTCCTCTTAATGCATTATCCACAGTTCTCTGCCTTGCGAATGCACGTCATTGACTCTAGTCTTGTTACTTGAATTCTGAAACCCGAAGCTCAAACTTGTACAGAGGCTCCTATACAATGGCTTATCTGGTGTACACAAAGTGTCAACAACTCCCCACATACCAGCTGGCAGGCAAGCTGTCCTGCTACACCTTAATCTTAAACTTTTGTGATAGTCATTAAAGTTCTGAAGTTTACACTATAATGGATTGAAAGAATCAGCAATAGCTCTGTCTGGAATAAACTGTTAAGGGACAAGGACAACTTGTTGTTTAGGAACTGAAAGCAATTAGACATGCCTGGGAAAAGGCAGAGTTGAAGCTACATAAACAAAATCATTTTAACAAGTGCTTGATAACTTATGCCACAAGGACAAATCACTGCCCTGCAGAAGAATTTAAGAAGTCTGTTGCAGAGAAGTTGTATCTTCAAACAGACAGTCAATACCAAATGTGACAAGGAACAGGGAAGCTTCTTCTTATCATAAGGCAAACTGAAGACTTACAATATTGTGGATGAAAGAATCTAAAGGATCACCAATAATGTCACACCATGGAACTAGGGCACTGCAGTCAGCATGGACCAGTTGGGCTGAAGGGCCTGTTTCCATGCTGTATTACTCTATGACTCTATAACCCTGAAGGGCAGAAAATACCACAAGAATTCAACGCCAATTTTTTAATAGCAGAACTCGCGAGAATAAAACTGCATCGGATTGAATCCCGGACACATCCAGAGACAGACACTGTTTGTTGGAATCATGGCTAAATTCCACCATTAATTGGGTAATAACCAAATTGAGTTGTGAGGCTTAACTTGCTCGAGTCTTATTTTGGTTGCTACATGCAATGAATTTTAAATAATTGATCCAGTATTTGTCGGTGAGATTTCTTAATAAGTAGTCAAATTAAAGGTAGCTTGTGGTGATTTACCCACAACACTTTAGTTACTTTACTTGCCCTAACTATAGTTACTTTTGTTCCATTAGCCATAAAGTGGAAGTCAGTAGACATTTTTTGCCCTCAGTTATAAATCAGCTTACTCTCCTGTATCTACAAAATCTTGCTTTCCCTGTGTTAGTTTAGATGTTTACATTTTTCAAAGTTACTGCAGTTGAAACAGAGTCAACTCACTACTTTCCTGTGATGTCACTCTTATACACTGGTTTCCAAACTCAGTGGAAATTCATATCAATATTCTCTGCAAAATTATTTTTTTCAAAAATTAAGTCAACTTTTTTGAACTTATTAAATATTTACATAAATATAGCAGCAGTTTGTATTGCATCTATTTTATGAACTGATTGGACATGCGGGCCATCGACAGGCAACATTTATCCACATTAAAAATAATTCAGTTGGCATGCGTGACAATGCTGGTGGAAACATTTCATTGTTAGTCTACTTCACCATTATCTACATCAGTGAAGTTCACCTGAAATTGCCACTCTAATTAAAAAATCTATTTCCTTAATCCTTACATGCAGCACTGTTTTATTATGAGTATCATTGTACAGCAGATTAGGATTTGTTAATACTAATTCTTTTATAAAGGGAATTTTTAATCAAACAAAAAAGGTTTGAGAATCAAGGATATAAAAACACACAAAATTTTGACATTAGACATATCACAATGTAGTTTTGAAAAAAAAAGTGTTGGGAAAAATCTATTTTTATTTAGCGTGAACAATTCCATTTTCTTACCTATGAGAATTTCCATAACACTGCCAGATACGATACTCCTCCACGAGGTCGATATGATCCAAGGTAGAGTTATAGAAATCAGTGAAAGGAATAATTGGAGGATTTGCCAGACTGTTAGCTGCATCTGTGGTAACAGTAAGACGCACAAAAATCTAACATTTTTAGCATTAGTAACTATTCATAGAATCATTAAAATCTATTAAATAAAGTGTTGTCGATTAAATCTACTACGAAGTATTTAATATGTGGCATACTCAGTTTAAAAAAAAAGGAAGCAACTCAGTCCAATGTGCCAGTGATACGGTATTTTGCTGCAGCAATCTATAACTTATCTCCTCGTTTAATCTTCGCAATTAGCATGGTTTCCTCTAATGCTTCAAATATCTATCCTTTTTTCAACTATACATTGGCATCTGCTTCAGCCATGCCTTGTGTCAATTCTCCAACAATTTGTTGCAATTTCTCTTAATGCTTCTTCTCAGTCTGTGAAAACTTTTAACACGGTGACTCCTTCATACTAAACCCCAGCTATAAAGAAATTACTTTATTCACCAGAAAAACCATTTAAAATATTGAGAATCTATTAAACCTCCTTAATATTAATTGTGTTTAATTGTGAGCAGGTGAGTGGTATAAATTGAACACATATATAAAGACACACTTATTGAGACTATGGCAGCATTGAGTTAGGAGTTGTATGTATGCAGTGTTTAGTCTGTAACAAACAAGACTTAGTAAAGATTCACTCCAGGAATATTCTCCACCAACTGTTATTATTTTCCCCACCAACAACTCCTCAGATACTGAAGCACCCCAAGGTCCATATGCAGCAAGACCAGTTCAATTTCCAGGTCTGGAATGACAAGTGGCATAATATTCCCACTACACAAGTGCTAGGTAATAACCATCTCCGACAAGATTATATGACCATTGCCCTTCGATATTCATGATCTACGAATTCCCCACAATCAACATTATGGGGTAAACACTGACCAGAAAATAACCTGCACCAGCCAATGTAGCAACTACAAGAGAAGGTCAGAGGCTAGGAATCTTGCAGTGAGTAACTCAACTCCTGACTCCCCAAAGTTTGTCCACCATCTACAGGATACAAAGTCAGGAGTGTGATAGAATACTCCCCATTTGCTTGGATGAGTGCAGCTCCAACAACACTAAAGAAGCTTGACACCATCCTGGTCAAAACAGTCCACTTTATTGATGTCACATCCCCAAACATTCACTCCCTCCACCATTAACATGCAGTAGCAGTGGTGTGTAGCATTTCCAAGATGCACTACAAAAATTCACCAAGGATCCTTAGGCAGTACCTTCCAAGCCCATGATCACCACCATCTAGAAGGACAAGGGCAGCACATACATGGGAACATCACCACCTGCAGTTCCCCTTCAAGCTGCACACCATCCTGACTCAGAAATCCCTCTCTAAGGGCATTTTGGGAGTACTTACAGCAAATGACTGCAGCTCACTACTTTTTCAAAAAAGGAAACTAGGGATGGGAAATAAATGCTGGCCCAGCTAGCAATGCCCACCCTCTCATGAATGAATAAAATGAACAATTCTCTTTCAGTCAGGATTTATACCTAATATTCGTATGTTTTTACTTGCTGTTGCAAGCCTTATCTTACTCCACCACGACAGCTTCAAAATCCAAACTTACTGTGCAGCACTCATAGGGCGGAATTTAATTGACCTGCCAAAACCAGCATAGTGACAGGCAGAAGTACCCCAACACTGGAAATCTGTGTGGAAAACAATCCTCAATTACGATGGGAGTGAAAAACCTCTGGCAAAGCAAAGTGTGCAGAGGACTGTGAAACTTTGCAGAGGAACATAGATACATTGAGTGAGTTGGCAAAGGTCTGGCAGATGGAATACAATGTAAATAAATGTGAAGTCATACATTTTGGTAGCAGTAATAGTAAAAAGGATTATCACTTGAATGGTAAAAAGTTGCAGTATGCTGCTATGCAGAGGGACCTGGGTGTCCTTGCACATGAATCACAGAAGGTAGGTCTGCAGGTACAACAAGTAATTAAGAAGGCAAATGGAATTTTGTCCTTCATTGCTAAAGGGATTGAAATAAAAAGCAGAGAGGTTATGTTGCAGTTGTACAAGATGCTGGTGAGACCACACCTGGAGTACTGTGTGCAGTTTTGGTCTCCTTACTTGAGAAAGGATGTACTGGCACTGGAGGGGGTGCAAAGGAGGTTCACTAGGTTGATTCCGGAGTTGAGGGGGTTGACTTATGAGGAAAGACTGAGTAGATTGGGATTATATTCATTGGAATTCAGAAGATTGAGGGGGGATCTTATAGAAACATATAAAATTATGAAGGGAACAGATAAGATAGAAGTAGAGAGGATGTTTCCACTGGCAGGTGAAGCTAGGACAAGAGGGCATAGCCTCAAGATTACAGGGAGCAGATTTAGGATTGAATTGAGAAGGAATTTCTTCACCCAGAGGGTTGTTAATCTATGGAATTCCTTGCCCAGTGAAGTAGTTGACGCTACCAGTAAATGTTTTCAAAAAAAATCTACTTTTTTTTAGAACAATAAAAGGAATTAAGGGATACGGTGAGAACGCGGGTAAGTGGATCTGAGTCCACGAAAGGATCAGCCATGATCTTACTGAATGGCGGAGCAGGCTCGAAGGGCCAGACGGCCTACTCCTGATCCTAGTTCTTATGTTCTAAGGGAATCATGTCCATCAACAGCAGATGCCATTTTGTTTTATGAACAAGTTACCTGATACCTTCCCAGAATTGAATGGTGTTTCAAGGATTTAACAAGACTTGCACAGATCTCCCATGTCTCCCAAAGGCTGCCCAACAACCCCTGAAAAGTTTGCCTGTAAACTTATGAAGAGCTGGTCGTGATCAGAAACTTCATGCCCGAGTGAGGGGCTAGGTTTTGGGAAGCAGGGGACTGTTGAAAGCTTTGACCTTGCTGCAATAAATAATGGGAGTGGGAGGGGAGGTTTGTTTGGCCTGCATGCTTTATCCCCCTTGGAAGAGATGATTCTGTACATTATGGGAAGGGCGATTTCAGCGGCTTTGATGATAGTTAGTTCGATGCATACCTTTCCCGGTCATCCCATTTCACACTCATCCCTCAAATCGATCCTGTCCTACAATCTACTGATGTTGCAAATTTTCATTTCTCACTTTATGCTTTGTCTTTACCATAAACTTTGTTCTTTCTTCATTTGGAATGTTCAAAAAACTGGTACATACCTCTGCAGTAGAGGATAACCAAGACAGCAGTGGAGATAAAGAGACACAACCGCTCAATTGTGGTCACAGCTATCAGCTCAGAAACGGATGCTGCACATAATTTAAGATGATAGTGTGGAAGTATGATCTGCATATGGCAAGATAGCGTAAACTCTTTTACGGCCAAATTTGCCAGATTTCCTGCTGGATTCCATTTCAGGGGTTTGAAAGGTTTCACGCTGCCCAAAGAATGCACATTACGGAACCCAAATTTGCCCAGTGTGTTTTAAATGCAGATACAATTATCTTATTCAAATTGCTTATGTTGTTATATAAGTAAATCATACTCTACATTTGGGTCATTATCTACATTTGAAATGCAAAATGCGACAGCCTCTCAGATACTCACTGAGCAAAGCCAAGACTCTTGTTGCTGAAGGAATCCACCAAGTACACTTTGCCATTGGTGGTAGGTCATCTGGTTTTGCCGGAAACAGGCGTAAAGATATGAACTGCAGTAATGACTCTACCAATTGCTTAAATCTCCTTAAGGGCAATCTAAGGAAAACACAAGTCAATCTTGCAGTTAGTCAATATCACGTTGAAGTCATGATGTTCAGATGATTAATAAAATGCTTTCAGCAATGACTCAGGGAGTCCATCTCGTGAAAAGTTGAGTCACACAGGCAACAGATGACACAAGTTTAATTTCTGGCCTGTGCTCATTTCAGACAGAGCAGCAAAATCGGGTGTTGTAACTTCTCTTGCAAGCTTGGACTAACGTCAGAATACTTACTGAGATTTCTTTTCTCTGCTCACTAAGCAGCAGGTTTCATTTGGAAGTTGTATTGACGAATGTTTCAGTGGAGAAGATTGGACCTATGTAAACAGTGTAAAGGACCACATTCGAGAAAAAGTAACTGATGTTTGAGCTCTTTTCCGAAAGGCAGGTCTGACCCAAAGCACCATGACCCTCACCATGGGTAGGGAAAGGAAGTAGGTTCTGAAACCTCACCATTCAGAGAGAGGATTCCAACATAATATTCTCTCTCAAAAGGTGAATCGTTTCATATTTTCTGATATGGTTTGCTGTGCTGTGTATCCAGTGTTAGGCTTCAAGACATCTGCTATGGTCTGTAGGGGATCTTCCGTGTAGGTACCAATAACATACGTAGAACCAGGAAAGCGTTTCTGCTGAGGGAGTACCAGCAGTTATGGGCTAAGCTAAAGACTGGGAACTGAATATCCAAAGATATTAGGCACGAAGGAGGGATAGGCATAAATGAAAAAAGAAGGGGGAGGTTTCGCATTCTTAATAATTAACGAGATCAATTCTTCAGTAAGAGAGAAGTTTAGATCGAAGGTTTAAGATCTAGAATCAGTTAGGGTGGAACGGAAAAACGGCAAAGGCTAGCAAACAGTTGGAAATTGTTTATAGATCACCAAATTGACGTGGTAATGTTTGGTATTGTGTAAATCAGAAAATTAGAGATGCATGTAATGTGGGTAGGGAAGGATATACTTGCCAATGAGGGAGTGCAATGGAGGTTCATCAGATTAATATGGGATGACAGGATTGTGTTAATAGGAGAGGTTGAGGAGACAAGGTCTATTTTCCCTGGAGTTTTGAAGAATGAGAGGCGACCTAGTTGAAACTTAACATTCTTGCAGTGTTGATGTAGATGTTGCTCCTGGCTGGTGAATCTATAACCACAGGGCATAATCTCACAATGAAAAGTAGGCTATTTAAGACTGTGATAAGGAGGAACTTTTTCACCCAGTGTGGTGAATCTTTGGAATACTCTACCCCAGCAGGCTGCAGAAGCTCTATCATTAATCGTGTTAAGGACAGAAATTGATAGATTTCTGAAGAGTAATGACATCAAGGGATAGATATGGAGACAGTGCAAAGAAGAAATATCTAAGTTGATGATCAACCCTTTCTAATTGAATGGCGGAGCAGGCTTGATGGGCTGAATGGCCTACTTCTATATACCAATGTTCCTACATGGTTGAAAGTTGACCAAGGCTGGGACGTAAATGTGGAAAGATCTTTGACATATCAGAATGACACATAGCTAGGAAATGACGTATTATTTTGTTTATTAAAGAAGGCATTAATCAGAGATGGTCGTAACATGAAAGAAAAAATGTAAAATACCTTTGGGTAGAGATAAGAAATAGTAACAATAAGAGGCACTTTGAGAGAGTAGTTTATAAGCTCCCTAACAGCTGATTCATGGTAAGACAGAGCATACAGGAAATAAAGAAGGCATGCAAAAATGTACTGCAATAATTACGTATGACTTTAATCTACATGTAAAATTTGGCGAATCAGAATGGCAAGATTGGTAAATACACAGCAAATGTATTACGAAGGTGAATGGAATGGTATTTGCTTATTGTAAGGGAATGGAACATGAAAGAAGAAAACGTTACTGCAGCTGTACATGGTGTTGGTGACACCACATCTGGAGTACTCTGTACAGTTTCTCTCTTTATTTGAAAAAAAAGAGAAGTACCATAATTAATATAACAGTCACAGTGCAGAGAAAGTAGACAAATCATTCCTGAGATATAGGCTATGAAGAAAGGTTCAACAGTTTGGCCTTTATTCATTGGACCTCAGAAGAGTTAGAGGGGAGTTTATTGAAAAATAAAAGATCATGAGGGCTCAAAATACCAGAAAGATGTTTCTTCTTGAAGGGAGAGACGAAAACTGGGGGTCATAGATTAAGAATAAGAGGTCTCCATTTTGAGACAGATGCAGAGCTTTTTTTCGTCTGAGCATTTTTAGTATGTGGAATTCTTTTCCCTAGAAAGTAGTGAGGAAGGTCGAGTCAGATAGATTGTTGATAGACAAGGGAGTCACAGGAGGCAGATGGGAAAATGGAGCTGAGACCACAACCGGATCAACCAAGATCTTATTAAATGATGCAACAGGCTTGAAAAGGTCAAATGCCCAATTCTTGTTCCTATATTTTTACATAGTGGATTTGTTCTAAAGTTAGTTGTGATAGCAGACATTTGTATCGGAGTGGGTTCCATCAATATAAAATTGGCAATCATTTCTCATTGTATCCCAGTTGATTTGGCAACAAATGTAATGTTGAGTGGATTAGAGCCAAAGATATTTATAGTTGTAAATCTCCTGCTAAACACTACAACACTGATGAGACACACTGGAATTTCAAACCAAATCAGAATTATTATCTATATCTCTTGATTTACAGTCTAATTAAATTTTCCCATTGAGACATTTGTAAGTGAGCTATTTATTACCCCGTTCTGCTCAAAATATTTTGAGCTCTAAAGACAGAAAATCTTTTACTTTTGAAACCAGTGGACTAGAAAGTGATGGTCCGCTTCAGACAAAGTGGCGGTCTGTCGTAATAAATGAGCGTAGATGACGTATGTTGATGTGTTCGTAAACTGAGGGTTCTACAGGAAGGAACAAATAGTACTTAGTATTGATTCTCCAATTAAAAACCTAAGAATGTAAACAAATGACAATGATCATACTTAAAAGTTTTAGTGCGCAGAATGTAGAAAAATATTGCTTTATAAACATTTTACACAAGTTACAGTATAGGAACAGGCCATTCAGCCCAAGTGATCAATGCAGTATTTATATGCTACACAATCATTTAGCTTCAAAAACAATGGCTACTGAGGAAACAGTCTAGATGATGTAGTGATCATTAGCTCACTGTCAACTACGTCCCATGCTTCTGATACTATTGATATAATATCAGAAAATAACCATTACCATACAAAACAGTTTCATACCTGCACAAGTAAAAAATAAGCTCGCAGATCATCTTTTGTCCGTGGTCTGGCAAAAAACAAAAATTCAACACTGATCAACAGAGGATGATTGGTACACATTTGCAATTACATGCACATTCTTCACCAATGACCATATCAACACGATATAACTACAGTAAATTTACAAGTAATAAAAGGAATCAGTATTAGCCCATATAGACAAACTGCAAATGTTCTTCCCTTTCTCTCCTGAAGGCATTGACTTTTGCTATAGTTCCATGGCAGCTTTCATCTCTCGAAATGCAAGTCAAATTTCCTCTCTCCTCTGAGAGGCTAGACGACAGGTATTGGCAGACTGAATGCCCTTGGGGAAATAGAAACTAATCCAGTCTTCATACACAAGCATTCTTACACACAGAAGTGCTATGTGGATGATCCATCTTGGCCTCTTCCAGTGGTCCCCAGCATTACAGATACCAGTCTTCAATCAATTCAATTCACTCCATGTGATATCAAGAAATGGTTGGAGACACTGCATACTGCAAAAGCTACAGGCCCTGGCAACATTCCAGGAATGGTACCGAAGGCTTGTGCTCCAGAACTTGCCATTCCCTTAGCTAAACTATTCCAGCACACAGTCACAACACTAGAATCTATCCAACAATGTGGCAAATTGTCCAGGTATGTCTTGTAAATAAAAAGGAGGACAAATCTAACCTGGTCAATTACCGCCACATCAGTCTACTCCCGATCGTCCATGGTGCTATCAAGCAGCACCTGCTCAGCAATAACCTTCTCAATGACGCCCAGTTTGGATGCTGTCAGGGCCACTCAGCTCCTGATTTCAAAGCAGCCTTGGTTGAAACATGGACAAAATAGCTGAATTTGGAAGGTGAGGCGAGAATGACAGCCCCTGACATCAAGACTGCATTCGACCAAATCGCATCAAGGAGCCCTAGTAAAACTGGAATCAGTGGACATCAGGGGGCAAACTCTCAGCTGGTTGAAGTCATATCTGGCACATAGGAAGATGATGGTTGTATAAGGTCAGTCATCTCGACTCCAGGACATCTCTGCAGGAGTTCCTCGGGGTAGTGTCCTATGCCCAACCATCTTCAGCTGCTTCATCAACGACCTTCCCTCCATCATAAGGTCAGAAGTGGGGATGTTTGCCAATGATTGTACAATGTTCAGCACCATTTACAATTCTTCAGATACTGAAGTAGTCCATGTTCAAATGCAACAAGATCTGCACAATATCCAGGCTTGGGCTGACAAGTGGCAAGTAACATTCACACCACATAAATGCCAGGCTAGAACCATCTAACCACTGCCCCTTGACATTCAATGGCATTACTGTCACCGAATCCCCCACTGCCAACATCCTGGGTGTTATAATTGACCAGGAACTCAACTGGACTCACCACATAAACATAGTAGCTACAAGAGGAGGTCAGAGGCTAGGAATACTGTGCTCAGTAACTTACCTCCTGACTCCCCAAAGCCTGTCCACCATCTACAAGGCACAAGTCAGGAGTGTGATGGAACACTCCCCAAATTGCCTGGAGGAGTGCAGCTCCAACAAGGAGCTTAACATCATCTAGGGCAAAAGCAGACTGCTTTATTGGTACTACATCCACAAGCATCCACTCTCTTCATCGCTGATGCTGAGTAGCGCAGTGTGTACTATCTACAAGATGCACTTCAGAAATTCAACAAAGATCCTCAGATAGCACCTTCCAAGTCGACTGCCACTTCCACCTAGAAGGACAAGGGCAGCAGAAAGATGTGAACACCACCACCAGGAGCTCCCTCCAAGCCACTCATCATCCTGACTTGGAACTACATCACCGTTCCTTCACTGTTGCTAGGTCAAAATCCTGGAATTCCCTCCCTAATAGTATTGTGGGTCAACCCACAGCAGGTGGACTGCAGCTATTCAAGAAAGAAGTTCACTACCACCTTCTCAACAGCAACTAGGGACGGTCAATAAATGCTGGCCAACCAGCAATGCTCACATTCCACAGATGAATAGAAAAAAGCACTTCTCGGCCAATGTTTGTGGATATTAAATGGAAGCAAGAAGCCCAGTTAATCTGCATCTCCCCACACTAAGAACTCTGAGGCCACCATAGCATTCCCACGGCAATTCCAGCTGAACCCGTTCATTCAAAATAGGATTAACAATTGAACATTTGATTTCAGTTTCCTCTAGAAATAAGAAAAGCTTCTAGAGACAGTAATGGTACCACCCCCCACCATCCCCCGACCCACAATAATGTAAACACACAAACTACCTTTGAAAACCCAGATGCCAGGGTTTCAGTTGCCTATAAGCAAAGTAGAGCCAGTGATATTTGTAGCTATCTCTACCTCAATCACTCTAGTAGTCAGACACAAAATTATGAAATGTGACTTTGAACATTTGCTTTTCTCTGTTCAGGTGTTGTTGAATTAATTGACCTTAAACTGAGACTTCTCTTGTATAGAAAGGAAAACCTTAGGTCCTAAAAGTAAACATAAAGTAACTATTATCTTACTAGACCATACGGCTACTGGGTCATTAAAGAGAGACGACTAGTGGTGGCTTAACCCGAGGGTCATCACGCCTCAGGTGAGGGGGGAGGTTCAGAAGGAGAATCCTTAATGATAACCTCAGCTGGTGCAGGAATGAACTCATGTTGACATCACGTTGCATCACAAACCAGCCATCCAGCCAACTGAGCTAACCAATGCCTTAGGTCCTGATAAAGTACACAGAGGTCGCTTTCATATCAGTCAGCAGACTGAAGCAGTAATGATATCAACTGTACTTCATTCAAAGAAGTTCATTTTGGTCACAGGAACAACACTATTAATGCCAAAGACAAAATTAGGGGAGACAAAGCCTCTCTCCCCAGCAGGTTCGGCCTCTCTGACAGTGCTGGCGACAGTACTTTAGGACAGTCTAAGCATTCTAGGAGCTCTGCCAACAAACGTAGCTTCCAGAGACAATGATGCTTTTAATGGATGTGGTTGGTAAAACTCCACAAAAGTCCCATTTCACAGCTACATTTACCTTTTATAATTTGTTATAAATTAGTATCTTTTTCATTTTTGCCAGGTAACGTACATTGGCAGAAGATGCAAAAATGCAAGGAATCAAATACGTTTAAGCAACTTTGGAATGAAAATAAATCTTTAAAACCACATCTCTATAATCAAACCTTTGGGAGCCTTTTAAGATTCAGTTTAACACATAAAAGTACAGCTATCATACTGTATAAAATTGTTTGTGGCAAACACAGAAAGGAGTCCAGCTGCTGAGCAGAGTCTATGGAATGTGTTCTGTAAATGTAACTGCACTACATTGGGCAGTCTGTAAATCCAACTCAGTTAATCCTCAAGATTTATCACTAACTAAATTCCACCCAGTAAATGTCATTTTAAACAGCTGCCAACTGTCTACGCTTCTGACCTTATTACGGCAAGGAGTTCCACTACAATGAATCACACAATTGCTTCAAATGTAGGCTTGGGAGCAGGATTCAAGATTGGGAGTGAGGTTGGTCTTTGGCACCACTAGAAATTCACTGCTTAAAGATACTTTAATGACATGACCTCATAAATAGCTCTGCTGATGTTTTTATTTCCTTGTCCAATCCTTTAAAGCAGCAGTGACCATGTTGTGAACCATCAGGTTCCTTTGGGATTAATATGCAACTCTTTGCCCATGCACTTGTGGGCCTCAGGTACAGATTGGCTGCAATATTTGACTCCGTAGCACCTGTCTTTTTCGTGGCATGGGTGCTGATTTCATTCTTAAAGGCCTCCATGCTGCACACATCTATGGCATGATGCACACTGGACACCATTTTGTGCAAGTCAGTAGCAAAAGTGTTGAGAGTGTATGTTGTAATTGCATTAAATGGGCAGATCATGTGGTCAGTCAGCATGTTACATCAGTTTGACAGCTGTATTGACAGTTTTCATTAAATAAAAATCAAAAGAACTGCGGATGTTGTAAATCAGAAAAAAAAAATAGAAATTGCTGAAAAAGCCCAGCAGCTTTGGCAGCATCTGTGAAGAGAAACCAGAGTTAACGTTTCGGGTCTGGTGACCCTTCTCAGAACTTGACAGTTTTCACCTCATCACTCCAGCTAATGGCCTCTCTTAACTAAGCAGAGCAGGACATGTATTGATCAGCAGGAACAGCACATTCCCATCAATGCTTTTTAAACCCAACTCAGGTGAACTGCTGATAAAATTCTACTGTCTCTGTCTGAGTTTGCTCAAGTTCTTGGCACTTTCCCCAGCTTCTTAAAGCAGATGATGTCAATCAAAACATAATGCATGCTGAAAGGCCTTGGTTCACAGAGAAGCTGCTCAGTCCACTTGCTCTCTGTCATGGGTACTGGTGGTTACCATTCTATTAAGGGCTTCAACACATGAACCGAGCAGAGGAGGACAAGCTGCTCGTAGACAGAGGAGAAGGAAGGCGAGAAACTCCCAGCAGCAGGCTATACCTATTAAGAACCTGCTCGAAGCATTAGTTTTACCTCAACCTATGCCAGGAACAGTGTGTATATTGTCATCTTCTCCACAGTTCTGAAGCAAAAGCATTACAAAATAGATAATCCAAAATCAACTTTGTCAAATAAAACTACACAATATTCAATACGAAAGCTAATTGATGGACCCATGGATTTCCTTACTGCCGGGTTCTGAAGGTGGCTTTGTCAGTCCTTGTGCTCCTATGTAATGCTATCCTACTGGCTACAGCATGGCTGGTGGAGGTTACTGACTTCTAATGGGGATATTGTAGACAGCCTCAAGCAGCTCTGGGCTAAGGAGGCCTTGAACTGAATCACTGCTATATGAATAGCAGCAGTCTGCGCTGGCTTTTTGATGGGTAATAGCAAAGACACTGACAGATTAGTAGTCGTGGGAGCATGAATGCTATAATTGGAAGGGTTAGCGGGTTGTACTTCACAAATTCGCCACTGCACATTGGAGTATTGCCTTGGCAATCCTAGTACTGCATCGGAGGACAGGTTGCCAAGCTACTGTGAGATCCTTAAACACCTTTTGAACATAGCTATCCACAGCCAACATGGCATTCACATGAGTCAACATGGCAGCAAACTATTTAGATAGTAACAAGCTGCACTCAGATAGCAACAAACAGAGTTTTCATGATCCTAGACTAAGGTTCCTCTGTGGTTGGCGTAACAACTCCACAGATGCCACTGTCCAGTCACCTAGTCCCCCTTTATATACATGTGGAGAGTCCTTGACACTGATCCAGGTCCCTCAGAGCCAGCTCTCAGAATGAGTAGGATGTCTGACACTTCTGTTTATATCTGTCAGCCACGGATCCCTGATTAGACCATATTAACAGCTCCAATCAGGGAACTTGTGTTCTATGAGATTCAGCTGGCTGACCTCGTTACAATCACTACAGTTGGATGACTTTGGGTGTACCGCAATAGAATTGAAATACTTGCCATCACATGCTGCATGACATCTGTTCATGTTCTTACAGAATTGGCCCTTCCATCCTGGGAAGAATGGACTCCAAGTTCTGCACAAAGTCCTGTGGTAAATGGAGGCCCCTCCAAGTTCCTTGACAGTAGCTTTCCGACAAGCCTCTCAATGCACGTAGTATTTTATTATGCATGCCAACAGCCTTTTTCTGTACACCATTCCAAAGTCCTCATCGGAGTTCTCTCCAAAAGAACTCACGTACAGCCTCATCTTCCAGGAAGCTGAAATCTAGGCTATCCTTTCCCTCATGTTGTGCATGGTGAATCACCATACTCAAATCCCACCTCTTAGCTATCTTATAAAGCATGAACAGCACTTTGTATCTGAAGACATGGCTATGGTGAGAGATTGAGTGATTAAGTTTCTTCATCACCAGTATCCTACACCTCTTGGAATTCACATATTTGTACACTGCTGGACCTGATAACAATATTTTGGTATCTGAAATGATACATGCACAAGGGCACATTTGGAATGAGGGAAGGTGGGGGGAAATAATAAAAGTTTCATATTTATAACACTGGCACTGTGTAAAAATCAGGAGACACTACAGGATGTGGAAGAAGTGCAAAGTGAAATGGTTGATCGGGTCAGAACATGCTCTCACTTTCCATGGTTTTTCTCCTTACTGCTAGCCATGGCCTCAGTCTCCTCCACTGATGCAACCACATTGGTTTCCACCTGCTTAGCTTAGACACCCTCTGGTTCTGGACTATCTTATCTTGCTGCAGAGGGGAAATGGGCTGGTCAAAGTGGCACAATGTATTTGGGTGATGTGCCTGTCATATTTGAATAGCCGGTAGCATGTGTAAGCTGGCAGATGTGGACGTGATGCTTGTAGCAGCACTAAATATATGAGGGTGAGGTGAAGCTATGAATGCTTAGTAGGAGTTATTTCTCATAAGGCTGGTCGGTGAGTGAAATGAGGTTGGTGAATGGAACTGTTTGAGAGGCTATTGGTAGATTTGTAAAAATATTGCATTTAATGAAGAAGTAACTTGAAGTCATTAAAAGTTTTCCTGTGCTACATCCGGTTTCTTGGAGTTACACTGCTGACAATATTGACAGTGACGATTATCTACACTGTCTTCTTAGTGCCCATCTGGAGGGCGTCCTTGCCTTTTGTAGGTGAAGACGTTCCCTTCTCCCTCCCAATTCTTGCACCAAGGCCTCCAGTGTTGCATCTGAACCTTCCAGAATCTTCTGCAGCCCCAGAATACACCAGGTGGTACTGGTTGGCTTTGAAGAGTACAGTCTATGTTTAGTAGTGCTTGGGCTTGCTAACGATACATACACGCTGCATGTCCCACAACAAACAGGCATGCGATAATCACATATCACAATCTCTGGGCCCATCTTCAGACTTTGTCCAATAACTCCCTCATTGGAGTTTTTAAACTGGCTGAGAAGCATCTGAAGAGCATGGTTTCAGCTAGTAAGGGCACAAACATTTACTCAGCTTCCTGCCACAGAAAAGATAAATAAACCATGGAAGGAAGAAATTTGTTCGTGGAGTGCTGCTTCTCTTAACGCATTCCATTTCCTGATACAGGCAGTGTGGTGGCCACTTCCTATGTGGTCCATGCAGCATTTTTAAATTATACATTGATGAAGCGAGCCAAGTGGGAAGTGCAGGTGTTTATATTAGTTTTGGCCACATGTCTGAAATTATTTTGGTGCAATTCCTTCTAAGCTTGGACAGCTGCATGGACTAAATGAGCCACGCAACCACACGATACTAAATCTTTACAGTTTTCACCAGTGTTCTATTCGTGTGGAAGTTGAATGTCTGCTGTTCATGACATTCACTACCCTTCAAATTGTTGTAAGAAATGACCACTGGATTTTAAAATTTAATTGCATCCCTTTTAAATATCTTGCCCACCTAATCCCTAAAGTACAGCTTGTCAAAATCTTGCAAATTCAAATTCCTCAGTTTTGGCCCATCGTTGGCCATGTCACCATCTTCAAAAATCAAACACTTTTCTTGAGCCTACAGAATTGCTTAAAATGATTATTTAAATATTGTTTGTTGAAAATTAACATGTATGACTGCAAACAATACCACTCATGTATAATAAGAAATATGCATAATTCATAAACACTTATGTAAATATATTTTACCATGTACACACCATTAATGATCTCCATGGAATAATAAACCATTGATTAACCAGGTTACTCACGTATTACAAGAGAAATCACATTAGGTAACAATCAACTCAATTAACATTCGTGTGTCCAGAAAACATTAATTTAGGGAGCCATTTATAACAATGCAACTGATAGCTTTGTAATCATCTGTCAAAATAGCGTTAGTTTTCCACATCCACTTATAAATAATAGAAAGCAATAATAGGCAGATTTATGACTAGGGCCATCGTTATGCTAAACAAAAAACAAAGAACTGTAGATGCTGGAAATCTGAACAAAAACAGAAATTGCTGGAGAAACTCAGCAGGTCTGGCACCATCTGTGGACAGAAAGCGGAGTAAACATTTCAGGTCCAGTGACCCTTCTTCAGAATTACATGAATCACTATGCTAATCCTGCCTCCTGCAACAGCATAAATGGATGGAAGGGTGCAATAAATGTCTGCGAACATTTCACACTACAGGCAAGATCAGAAAAGTGACCTTATGGTACCAGTCTCCATCAAATGCTACGCCTACCCATGTTCTGCCCCAATGCTATCCTCTTAGACCCAGGAATTTTGTAGCTCATAACCTTAATGTATGTTATGCTTCTGCAATATGTCCAAAACCCCAAAGATGATAGCTTACTTGATATCATGTTCAGAAAACATTTAATAAGTAGTAATAGTGGACATAAATATCTTTCAGGGGTATTTAGGGACTTTTTTCCCCCTCTTATTCCTTTGGCTTGGTATTTCTACTCCCGGGTAATTGTCAAGTGGTATTCTCTTCTCCCACTGAAAACAATGAAAAAACAGAGGAACACCTAAAATGGATGTTTTCTGCCCTTGCACAGCCTGCTGTAATCAAATCACTGCGAACACGATCAGTAATAATCTTGTTTTTCTTTTCTAATAAAGAAGAATCAGAAAGAAATCTACAGACTGAATATCAAACAATTGTTAGCTTTATTTGGAAAAATACATCAGTCTTACCCTTTCCATTCCTTCAGTAGACTATTAATAATACCTTTCAGAACTGTTTTTTGGATGTCTTGAGGCTGAAATTAGCAATAGCACCAGATTGTTACATATCTTCACTCTATTTTAATTGTAAGAAAAATAGAACGTGTCATTTTCGTTGCGAATTTAATGAATGAAATGTAATGTGCCAGTATTCACTGTAAACAACGTTTAGCAAATGAAGATATTGCTCAAACTTTATAAAGCACTACCAGGTCTCCCATGGTGTCACGCATGATAGGTTGTATGTACACCATATCAGGAGGGGAACACTATATTTTACAAAATGATTATTCCACTGAGTTATATGTGTGTAATTTCGAACATCACCTGAACTAACTGCTTACTCTAAGTGGAGTCCTTTTTCCATTATTTAAGGGCATGTAATACATTTGGAAATGTTTTACAACCTTTTTATTTTACAGTAAGTTGATATTATGCAATATTAGAAATATTTATTAATTAATTCAAACTTGTAATTTACTCTTTACAGATTTGTATCACAGTAAGCACATATACAAAAGCAGATATTTCTCTGCCCAGAGAGTAAGGTGTCCCAGCAATATAATTCATTACTTTAAGCAGACACCAGCAGTGTACATGTTACGGCATAAAAATACAGTGATGGCATTGTAAATGTGGTATTCTCTGAAGGTTTAGAATCTCCAGAGTGTGGAAGCAGGCTATTCAACCCATCAAGTCCACACATACTCTCTGAAGCGTATCCTACCCAGACACACCGCCATACCACATCCCTGTAACCCTGCATTTCCCATAGCTAACCTATACATCCCCAAACAAAATGGGCAATTTAGCAAGGCCAATCCACCTAACCTGCACATCTTTGGACTGTGGGAGGAAACTGTAGCACTCAGTGAAAACCCATGCAGTCATGGGGAGAACATGCAAATTCCACACAGACAGTCACCCAAGGCTGGAATTGAACCTCGGTCCCTGGCACTGTGAGGCAGTAATGCTAGCTGCTGAGCCACTGAGCCGCCATTTCATAAGTGCCTTTCCCTGAAAGATGTTTGACTTATTAAAACAAAGGTTTTAAACTTTTAAATTTGACAAAAATGATTTTAAAAAAGTACTCACTGTGTTCAGTAAGATGTCATAGACACTGTTTGTTAATTTAACATTAATGCCTGGATCATCTATTGTGTTGAAAGGTGCACTAGCACTTCGCTATGAATTAATGAAAGATAAAACATGACTTAGCTAAAACAAAACAAAAGCATTAACACAGCAAAAGATAAAACTACATTTCAGAGTGTCCCTACAGTGTGGAAGCAGACCATTCGGCCCATCAAGTCTACACCGACCCTCCGAACAGCCTCCCACCCAGACCCTTCCTCTACCCTATCCTATCCCTGCATTTCCCACACTAGACCCTACTGGCAATTTAGCATGGCCAATCCACCTAACTTGCACATCTTTCTACTGTAGGAGGAAACCCATGCAGACATGAGGAGAACGTACAAACTCCACACAGACAGACAGTCACCCGGGCTGGAATTGAACCCGGTTCCCTGGCGATGTGAGGCAGCAGTACTAGACACTGAGCTGCCCCAACGAAATTTGTTTGGCTTTATATGGCAAAAAATAAATGCCATTCTGAAAAAAGGAGTGAATATAACTTCATTTATTAATTTATTTTAAACATAATAAATTAAAACCAAACAAACTCTCTAAAAGGGTGTTACAAAATGTACTTTCTCAATGCTATAAACTTGTCTCAATGCAGAAGTAAAACAGTGCCAAACAGATATAACCATAAACCTTTCACACCAGTCACACTTGCATCAAAACATTTGCAACAAACCTGGTCTTTTGTCTTAAGTATAATTTCTGTTTGGAGAGGTCACCAAATAGATCTTATTAAAACCCAGAACAACAAACTTTACAGAAAAGCTTTAAAGGAGCTTTAAACAAAAGGCTCCTTCTCTCAAACCCCTTTAAATGCTCAATCAAATAAATGGCTTTTGTAGCTAGGACACGACTGTGGTGGGGAGAGTAGCTACCTGGGCAGGAAGGTAGAATCTCTGAGCCTGCTTGCAGTACTGCACCCTGCCCCAGCCTGCCCCTGGGGTTCACCTCCTTGCCATTGAATTGACCCCCAATATCTCTGGGAACCTGGAGGCTGATTGAAAATTGAGGATCATCTGCCACCCGAAAGGAATTGGCCCTACAAATCTCACTTCTGTAAAAGTTGACATGAGGGAGGAAGAGTAGGGGGTTTACAATGGGAGCCCACAGGGCTGCTTTCAGCTTCCCTCCACCTCTGGTATTGGTGTCAATGGAGGCTGATGATCCAGCCCTTGTGTTTGAAGGGAACAGGATGGATGAAATAATCCTGGAAGTTATTATTAAATAACGCCAAATGCGTGATATTAAATCTTGTCGAACTCAGGACAAAGTAAAGAGTACTGGAAGTAAGGAAGTTGAAACTTTTTAAATGCTATATGACGAATAAGCTTGCAATGAATCTTGATTTTAACACTGGATGCTGGAAGAAGAAACAACCCAGAAATGAGCAGCAAAAACAAAGGAAAATTGTGATTCAGTGGTGCTGCGATCCCTACCTCAAGCTAACAACTAAGAAGAAGGACACAATCTTGCATCAACCCCTTGAGGGATTTCAATTTAAGATCATATTGTTGGATTCAGAATGATATCTGCTTTTAGACTGACATGCGTGCAATACAGAGGGTTGAGTAGAAACTTCATATGTACATACATGTACATGAAATACATGTAGGCAAATGTATAAATTGTTAATAGTAAAAGTAATGGTCAAAGAGGTAGGCAATTATCAAATATGTTATATATTTAATTTTCACTTCTAATGAAAATCAAGTTCTGTAGTGAGGATATTCAAAGTGGAGGTCGGCAATGTTCAAAACAAATGTGTACCCACAACGGAAAAGGGTGAACCTCCCAAATCCAGACACCCAGATGTCAAAAGTAGGATGAGACAATAAAAGAAATGCATGTTAGGTAACAAGAATTCAATATTGCAGATAGACTGGAGGAATATTGGAAATCCAAGGAGAAATTAAAATAGGAAACTGGGAATGCAAAGGCAGGCATGGACAAATGTTGGTAAGTGAAATTCAGCAAAACCGAAAAGATATTTTATAAATACAGAGATCACAAGGAGAGTATCCCACAGAGATGGATGGGAATGGGTACTGAACAGTAAGATGTGGGGTGGCTTGCAGCAGCATACGCTCCAGATGCTGGGTTCTTCGACTGAGCATCAGATCACTGAGTTTTATGGGAATAATACATAGTCATTACTCTGAAATGTGTCTCATTTAAAATAGATGCCCAACGATTAGAAAAGGTTGATTATCTTTTCCGTGTGTTTAGAATAAATCAATAAATAACAGCTAGCCTGGAATTATTACTGAAGCAAAAATACAACAACATGTTGTCTATTTACCTTGAAAGCTGCATTAATTTGCTGGAAAGAATCAAATGTTGTTGAATAAAAGTCATGTATAATTGTCCAATCTCCTGAAATCTTGGCGTTTTCTACATCTTCTCTGAAATTAAAAAAGAATCTTGGCCATTACATTTGTTAATCAAACCAACAAGGTTTAGTTTAATTAAAAAGCCATATTATTGTATGATGAATGGTGCTCTAGCCCTCAATTGTGGTCTATCCTGGTTCAGAATCGAATCATATGAAAATAGGTTTCTTTTGACTCCCAGGTACAGATGAACCTTGTTACACACAGATTGACTGAGTAGAAGCAATATTTAGCATAGTTTATGACTTCTAAATAACAAACTTACCTATTTTGTAAGATCTTTATGGCTCTTCCAATTATTCCAACTCAATGCAGAAAATCCTAGTTCTGGGAATTTCACATTATTTTTTCTTGTCTTGATAATATAGATAACATAGGTAGGGCTTTCCATTCCCTTAAACAGTGTGAGAAGTGGTGAGAACGTTGGGAAGATACAGTGAAAAGGGAAAAATCAGATTCCTGACATCAAGAAAACACATCTGATTTTCCCCTTAGGATTTAACCGGCGAGTTCTGAATCTCACTAATGAGCAGTAACCATGTTACATCAGTGTATTTGCATCTCATTATTAGCTAAACTCACCTCAGTTCTATGCAGTTCAAATTCAGCTCTCCTAGCTTGAGGAACTGGATGGTGGAAAATTCCCAACATGAAAGTCAGAACAGTTACCAGGTGGTAGCAGCTCATAGTTTTCTGAGGGCCCAGAGAAGCAAACAGTCTTCACAAAATTGTTGCTACACACTCCATGTCCATTGTCCTCCTCCATCCTTTGTCCATGCTGGTTGGCACCACCAAACCACAAGCCTCACTATGTTATCACTGCTGCTTTTGGACTAACTCTCATAGCACATCAACCCTTACAGAACTTCACTTTGAAGTTCAGAGACATTCATGACTTGCATGGTCACTTTAGGCACAGGGTCACACATGCATGTCATGGTTGTTAGCTTAATTTCTTAGTGCTAACTTTGCGGCTGTGACCCTTTGTGGCTTGCATTGCCTTTCAGCACATTGGATGTTCATTGCTAACGTATAGGATGTCCGATGCCTGTGACATTATTTGCTTTATAGCATGAGGGAGAGACAGGCAGTTTGTAACCAATTGGAGCACTGAACAACCAAGTGGTGAACATATTCCTGTGTGGCAGTGGAGGAGGAGGAGGGTCTTCTTACTGTTAAACGCAGCTCTACAATTTGAGAGAGTAAATTAACTGGGGCACAGAAGATGGAAACGGAATCAGTCCAATTAAAGTCAGGTTAAATGCTGTCTGACATCACATTCTGCCTATTCTGCAAACTCAAAGCAGAGTGCTCCCAGAGTCTGTACTATCTTCACCAAAATGGCATGAGGCACAAACTACAATAAGGTGTACAGGATATGTGGTGGACACCATTTTGACCCAAAACAATATCTGCCCCATTGAAAAGCTCTGTTTCTGGATTTACCAGCCTTCAAATCAGATATAATGGAGGGCTAAATTTTGTTGCTGCAATGAAAGGCCAAATGATGGATTAGAAAGTCAGGAGAGATCTCACCTCAGCTGTTTTGGGAGACCTATGGCGAGATTTTATGACAGTCAGGCAACAGATTAGTTGCTTTCGGGACTTCCAGCCCCTTTCAAGGATTTCCACCTGACACCAGGAGCTGTCAAACAATTATAGCATCAGAGGTCTCATCAGCACCACTTGGAGCACTGGACACTACTGTAAAAATTATCCTCTCAACCAGCTGGCCAGGGTCTGGGGCCAGTCAAGCAGTACTTGGTAAACAGGGAGGGGAGGAGGAAGATGTCACAGGGCCACAAGTGCTGCCAGAGGTGTCCTCCATGGACCACACGGTGCCAGAGTAGAAGGATCCCCACCACCTCCCCTGAAGCCACAGGGAGACCATCAGAGTCCACAGGCAGTCACTCCATGAAAGAAAGCCCTACACATTGCTAGCAAAATGGGAAGTGGCCTTTAAGTAGCCACTTCAGTGGATTAATTAACCTCTGGGTGGGAGGGCTACCATCTACCTTAATAAAATGGCTTGATGGTAGATGACAATGGGCAGGCCACCTGACTGCCTTTGCTATTTTACAAGCCTTTCTACCTGCCAGTTCACCCAAAGAGAGGATTGGTAAAATCCATTCTTCAGTGTGCATCGAATTGTTATGTAAGACATGCATTGCTTAAATCTGTAGCAGCTGATAGTGTACAGAACACTTCGCTTGATTAATTATGTGGAAGATTACTAACTGGGACTTCTCTGGCTTCAGGAGGCATTTAATGTTTGCATGTCCAAAATGGGGCAAATGTTTTCTTCCTGTTCATATTGAACAGCAAAATCCTATAATTGATGCTGAAAGTGGGGCAAAATCTGTACTATATCGACCATTAAGTTATGTGATACAGGTAGTGCAGTAGTTATGTTGTTAGACTAGTATTTTTAAAGCCTGGGCCAATATTAGAATTAAGTTAAAATCAACTTAAACATCTCAGTGTGAATTCAAAGGCCACTGTCACAAATGAAATTCAAAGTCTGGCAGCGATTATGACCATTAAAAATCATAAAAATCTAGCTGGTTCACTACTGTCCTTCAGCAATAATTACTGGCTTTCCTTACCTGTTGATTCTACACATCACTCCAATTCCACACCAACACGGTCGAGTTTTAATTGCTCTCCTCTGGCCTTGCAATGAATAGGAAAGGTTTAGGAGGGATATGGCCAAACACAGGCAAATGGCACTAATTCATTTTAGGATACCTAGTCGGCATGGGAGACTTGAACTGAAGGGTCTGTTACCAAGCTCTATGACTCTATGCAGGCCATTTATTTTCAACAAACAAACACGTCCAGTAGTTTAAGAACTTAATGTCAACTCTGTGGTTGGACAGTAAATGCAATCATTACCAAAACTAGCATGCCAAGTCAAATAACTCCACAGAGGCCGGTATCCGCCATCAAGTCACCCTTTACTTACACGTGCAGAATATTTGTCACTGATCCCAGCTCCTCAGAGTGAATAGAACATCCGAAACACCTGTTTATATCTGTCAGCCAAGGCTTCCCGATTGGAACAGGTTAATAGCCCCAAACAGGGAACTCATATTCTATGAGGTCACCAGCTGAACTCGTTACAATCACTACACCGAGAATAATTTAAAAAACGTTCAGAAGATTTTCCATTCTAGTTGTCAATGTTTAGAACATATTGGGGATCTCTCAAGTGACTTGAATGTACCAGCTGCTCAAAAAATGGTGAAATAAACAGTTCTACAAAGGCTCATAAGCACAATACCAACAATGTTACTTAGGACAAGGAACATGCAGTGACCTGATCAATGATTGTTTTGTAGATTTCCTGGAAAAAAGTTGTGTCTGCAATCTAACTTGAGTAATCAGTTTCATTTTCAAATAAAATGTTTTTTGCTTAAACTCATATTTACTGTTTTTGATATTATTGTGAACTCAATATAAAGTAACTTATTAGCATTTTTAAGCACCTAAAAACTCAATACAAAAGCATACTAATGGTCAAACCTCTTTAACTCAGTCAGTTCTATGTACTTACAGAAATTCCTCCACAGTTTTGGTCCGAAGAGGAACTGCAGGTTCAGGAGGGATGGGCGCTTTCATTTCAGGAGGCAAAATTTCTATTGAGATGCGTTGTTTTTGACGTACAACTGGATTAATGGGTGGCAGGTCTCGCACTGTAAGGATAGAAGTAATGTTATGTCACAACTACTCTGCCATATAATAATTGGTCTTAAATATTTTATAATGTACCTAAATTCTCCTACACTTCTTACTACAGAAAACAATGACATGATTTGGGCTTAAAGGATCTTTTTGTCTAATAATTCAACATTCACTGAACATGTTACTTGAAACAATTCATTACCTGTTTTTAAATCCAGAATGAGGCGACATTTCTTAATTTGATACAGTGTGGAGCTGGAGGAACACAGGAGGTCAGGACTCCTGATGAAGGGTGTAAATCCGAAACGTCGACTTTCCTGCTCCGCTGATGCTGCCTAACCTGCTGCGTTCCTCCAGTTCCACACTTTATTGACTCTGACTCCAGTGTCTGCAGTTCTTGCTGTCTCCAACATTTCTTAATTTCTTTTCCTTTATTATTTTCCTATTTCTGTAATTTCTCCCAGGTCATGTGCTATACAAGTTTTAGGGTTGACACACAGTCTGATCCCAGTCATTGTTCAACACTACTATCATCAGTTACTTGGAAATTTCACAAAAGCAACTCGAGGTTTATTTTTTCTTCTTTCATGGCAACTGTCTGAACTCAGTGCAGAATCCTTTCAATGCTGACGATTGTGATGAGGATATCAACTGGTTACTTCTACATCCCTTCACTCCATATCTTAATGAATTGGAACCTCTGATTGCTCAACGGCCATGATTATCAACATTCTACATAGGTAAAACTTTCAAGTCCATTCTAACATTTGTAATTCTGAGATCATTATTGATATTAACTTTTAGATAAATGCAAAATGTTGCATTTTGGTGGGTCAAACCAGGGCAGGACTTACACAGTCAATGGTAGGGCCCTGGGGAGCGTTATAGAACAAAGAGATCCAGGAGTACAGGTTCATAGCTCCTCAAAATTGGAGTCACAGGTAGACAGGGTGAAGGCAGCTTTCGACGTGCTTGCTTTCATTGATCAGAGCACTGAGTATAGAAGTTGGGGGTGTCTTGTTACAGCTGTCAAGACATTGGTGAGGCTACATTTGGAGCACTATGTGTGGTTCAAGTTGCCATACTATAGAAAGGATATTAAACTAGAAAAAGAGTGCAGAAAAGATTTACTCGGACGCTACCTGGACTGGGAGGTTTGAGTCATAAGGAGAGGTTAGATAGGCTGGGACATTTTTCCCCTGGATAGTAGGAGATTGAGGGGTGACCTTATAGAGGTCTATAAAATCATGAGGCATAGATAAGGTAGATAGCCAACAGCTTTTCCCCATGGTAGGGAAGTCTAAAACTAGAGGGCATAGTTTTAAGGTGAGAGAGGAGAGATACAAAAGGGTCCAGAGGTGCAATTTTTCACACTGCGGGGGGCGGTGAATATCTGGAATGGGCTGCCAGAAGTAGTTTTTTTTATTCCAAACGAGCAAACCCCTAGCAGGGCAAATGTTCTGAGGAAGGGTCACTGGACCTGAAACGTTAACTCTGTTTTCTCCTTCACAGATGCTGCCAGACCTGCTGAGCTTTTCCAGCAACTTTGTTTTTGTTCCTGATTTACAGCATGCTCAGTTCTTTTGGTTTTTGTTCAAATACAAGCTCATTTTTACTAAAAAATGTTGATATACAGGAACTGAATCAGAAACAGTTAAAGTCAATGCAAAATGCAGCAGGCTTGTAGTCAAACTGTGAGATTTGAAACAACCTGAAATTTGACCGAAAATAGAAAAGGTATTAAAGATTCACCATTAAGAACTAGTACACTAATACAATCCAGTACAAAGTGATATCTATTACATGTAAATTTCCTGAAGTAGATTGTAGATGAAGGAAGGAAACAGTTTAAAGAAATGGTAATTGTTAAAGGGACAAGAATGAGTCTGCCTTGAAGTTAGTTTGTCAATCAGCTAACACTGTGAAAGATTTTCTGATGAACTCACCAAACAGCATCATTCTGTGATCACGTTTTGGAGAGATAAACTACATAGGAATAATCAAATAAATGAATTTTACATATCCTTTCACACTGCTTGTGTGTTTCAGTACCACTAAGGTGCTCACACACAAGGGTGCACAAAAATTGCTAAAGGTGCACATGTATGCATTAGAGGGCCATTCTCTCATCATCTGCAAACCTGGGATACTCAAGACCTCGTATTAAACATTTTTAAATTGTTTGGACTGTTGTTACCTTGTATAATAAACTGTTTTTAAAAATCAATAAATGGTGACAAAGACTCTGAACTTAATCACCACCAAGACTTCAATTGAGTAGCATCGAGTTCATTAAATAGCTGCAGGAAATTAAACCAATTTTTTGTACTTTATGCTTCACATTTATAATGGTTCCCTCCATGCCTACCATCTCTCTCTTCCAAACCCGCCCAACACTTCTGGACTTTTTCCTGTTGATACATGTACTTTCTGCTTAATTACTTTATTACTTAATTCTCAATGATAATGAAGGAAGTGCATCATGTGATATGGCTTTAGCCCTTAATAGTCGGAAATATTTGATACTTTGGCACATCATCACATATAAAATTGATCTGTGACAGTTTACAAATTGGTAAAAATAAAGAGATTTAGATTATTTTTTTAAAAATTTAAGAATCCATAAAAGTATACAACGTCAGATTTGGTACTGATAGAAATTTAAATTTTGCAACAAATATATTATGCAAAGAAATGCATAAAAATCTTTGACGGTGATGATTCACCTGATAAAGGAAAACTGGATATTTTGATGACTAACACTGTCTATTTTGTTCTTAGTAAATAAAGTTCAGGCATTTGAGGAAAAAAGGAACCAAAATTTTGAAGTCGGAGTATCCTGTAAAATCATGATAATACAAAAACAATGTTTAATATAAACCATGTGTGAAATTTGGAACATTTTAAATATATTTAATCACTTTGTTTGCAAGCAAAGTATCTTTGGTTCATATACTTTTATATGTGAATTGAAAACAATCTAATTATTATTTTAAAATACAACTTAGGTTTACAAATGATTAAACTCCGTCACCTCAATTTTGCAGCATATTCTTGAAATATTACAATCATATGTTGCTTGGCAAAATGTAATTATAACAAGGATCAATATGTTCACTGGAGCTGGCTTTTAACATGTTCTGAAATTCTTGTTGCTGTGGTAACAGTCATGGAGTCTCTGTAGCTCAGTTGCTAAGGACAGCTTTGGAACCAAATTCTTTTCTAAATTTATTTATAAAGTGACACATGGGGTCCATGGAAAGAAAGTAAGTGTAGTATGAAATTAACAATGACATTAATCTCTTGGAAAAGCCTATGTTACTTGGCAACCAAACAAATATATTCAAAATATATTTGCTTGAAATAAAATGTGTCAAGGAAATAATTCAAGCTTGTGAATGATGAAAACAGGCATTAACTTAAATCTTTTTATTGCCATTTGTAAGCAACACTGCACATTCTATGAATTTACATAGAAGTGTAATTCAATTATAGGCTTTAAAAATCTACATGTGTTTCTGCAGCGTCATCCATAAATACTGAAAGGCTTGTTTCAGTAATCTAAACCTGACTAAGATCTCCTTTAACATCCACATTTCCATAAAAGCTGGCAGAACGTTAGATTAAACTGGACCTGAGCATCTTATGCATAATCACACTTTTGAACTTGCAACAATACAGAAATGAGCTGACAGAAGATGCCGCTCACGTGGAATACTTATACAATGTAGTAATATGTACACAACACAAACATTTCCCCCAAAAAAGGATATTTGTTCTATAACATGAAACAACTTTACCTTCAATCGTTTGCAATCATAAAAAGTGAAGCATCAGGATGGTATATAGTAGCACAGAACACATAAGATCTGAAGAATGATTAAAAGCTAGCTGACAGCTGAAAGCAAGTAATCTGCATTTTATCTGCATTTATCTTTGAAATATAACTGAAGATGCTAAAAATAACCAAAACCAACCAGATTGATGGGAATATTTTTGTTGCAAACAGTTTTGTGCGTGTGCGCGCCTGTGCGTGTTATATTCCCAGTTTGTTAATAACTTAGCTGATTTGTAAAAAAGTTGCGTTTAAAATCAGCATATTACATTGCTAATGCACAAATAAAACTTTGTCTCTCTTCTGAGAACTGTCATTCTGCTTGTACTACTTAAATTTTGTTCTTCCTATCTTTCACTCTTATCTCAAACCTTCCCTTCTGGAGGTCTCTCTTCACGTCTTTTGTCCAACTCACTAATATCCTTATCCAAGAGATTCCTTTTCTCTTCTTTTGAGCTTGTTTTACATTCTTTACATCAGGTGTTGGGAACCTTCGGCCCAAGACCAAATCCAGCCTAGTGGCCCCTCAGCCAAGATCCTGGAGCAAATGACCATGGCAAAGTGAAGACAGCAGCACAGCACATCATAGCAGAGCAGCCAGGAAGTCCTAAGAACCATCGCCAGCAAAACAGCTGTACAGGGGAACAGCCGGAGGGCGTAGGGAACACCAGAGGAGAACCACCAGCAGAGATTTTTATTGGAAGGTCTATTGCAGAATGAATACAAAACTGGCTGCTCCAAACCAAAAACAGGAAAAATGGGTGCGGTGTGTCCTGTTTTAATGAAAAAAGGCAAGGATTGGGAACCTTTTTTCTATTGTTAACTAGTAACACTTGTGTGATCCTTGATCGGTTTCATCCACAAAGAAATAGTGGTTTTA